ATATGAAATGTTGGCGCACCCTCTCTCACACAGAACCGCCCAACCGGCAGCAGCACCTTCTTTTTTGAATATACTTTCTCGCGATCTTCATGTGCGAACAGAAATTACGCATCAGTGCATTTTTGTCTCATTGCGTATCACTTGTGTGGGGCGCACATTAACACAAAAATACAAAACACATATTGACGCAGTTCTAATCAAATCGGGTGATAAGCACAAATTGTTTGTGCAGCTCGACCAGTTCCAACTCGAAATATTCTCTGACCAAGCCATAGAACTGCTTCGAGTGCTACGTGACTCATCTGCCTCAATCTGTTTAGAGAGGCACATTCTAAAAATTCCTCTTTCAAATTTATTATATTTGTGAAGAGAGTGATGCTCATTTTTTTATACAGTGGTTCGAATAGAATCCTTGAAAATGTGGAAAATAATCTAAATTTAATTTAATTCATTTTTCATAAACTCCAAATTCGAATTAAAAAATTCCCCTATCTGCTTTTATATGAATTTATTTATTGCTTTATATTAGGAGGGATAAATTTTTAATTCACTTTCAGTTGATTTTAATTTGTAACTTTTGTGTATAACCAAACTAAATTGTTGGTGAAACTTCCTCAAATTGGGAGTTGGAATTTTCGGCTCAAATACTTTTAAAGAAAGATTCCTTGCCGTTAGAAGCCAACTTTGCTCATATAAACTTTAATTGCATTTCTCCTTTTGAGAGCAAAGTTTTGATGTCTCAAGTCGCGATCGGCGGATTGGTGAAACAAGAGAGCACGTTTGAGTGCCGTTTTAAGCAAACGTGTATTCATTTTCTAAGAGGCTCTTCGGAAGAATTTATGCCTCACAAGAGCGAGATCAATATTGCCCAATAAATTACCATCGCGCGAGAGAGATTCACATGCAGAGCACTCGACGCCGTGTCGTATATGATGAATTATCATTTTTCTTCTTCTGTTCTCGCGGCGCAAAACTGCATTAAATTTGAATTGCAAATCTACGTTTTAAATTGCCTCTGCGTCCATTCATTATACATTTCGCGGAGCTGGCGAATTTTGAAATTTGAATGGCAAGCTGCTGGCCAATTGACTGATTGTGCCTGCCACGACGAGAAATCCGATTGACGAACCCCTGCTGGTAAACGAATTGTTCCAAATAATACTCGCTGCTGCGTCACACGCCCGGGAAGCTCAAAGCAGAACTGCGACTTATCTGAATCGGGAGCTCTTGCGTCACATTTTATGGACTTTTCCGATAACTTTCCGACTGATTTACTGCCCAAGGGTGGTTTGAAGAAATAGGTTCTGCGCAATGTATTTTAAAACAGAAAATTTATAAAAATTCATATGCATAACTTTCTATTCAATTTACATAGACTTGAGTCATTTTGCAAATAATTCTTAAGTTTTTGTAAACAGAATGTTTGTTTGCCACTTATTTATTCTTTTGAAAGGAAGATTATAGTTGCTGAGAAATGTACAGAATAAAAAGCAGCAGGTCATTTTGAAGGTTGAAAACTGAATAATCTATTAGAACAGATTTTGAACCAGACAGACAAAAGCATGAGGGAGATGTTCTTTGAAAATGAGATTAATTTGAAAGGTCAATTAAGGACGCCCCAAGGAAACCAGGGTGTTTTAAGAAAATAAGAATAGCTCTGGCAATTTCAGTTGAAAATATTAAAGAAGTTTAAATAGGCAGAACATTTTAACGGCGAAAAGCTGACAAACTAATAATTTATATGTATAGTTTGGAATAGGTTTTAGCAATGCAACCGTTCATGTATGTTAATTTAAATTCTATTTAAAAATCCAAGCAAACTGGCTGACTATATAACGTATAGTGTATCAAGAACAAATAAAATAAACATTTAAAACTAACTGACTATCCAAACAGTCAAATTTTAAGTTCAATAGCCGAAAGCAGTTTAAATTGAGGAGGTTTTTGGCTAGACAGATGAAAACAGGGTGTTCCACGTAGGATCAGGCAAAACTTTTATTCCATTTCACTTTTCTTTGTGGGCCAAAACGGCTCATTAGCCACGTGCAATGGGCGCAGGGCTCATTAGCGGGTGGGTTCGTCGTTTACGGCGCGAGTTACGTGCGACGAACGACCCTCGGAGGGCCACTTTCTTTCTGCTCGCCGGCTGCCGGGACAATGCAATGTTGTTCGATCTGCGGCCGGACGGTGTCAGGACATTGTCGGTGTGCGCGTGCGCAGCACCAGCGCGGCCATGCACCACGCAGGAGGGTGGGGCGAGGGCCAGCGGCCAATGAGCGGCCGCGGCGGGCGCGTCGCGATTGGCCACGAAGGCGAGGAGGCCCCGCCACCCTGGGCCGGCGCTGAACGCGCGTGTTTTTCGGCATCGCGCGGGCTATGGCGCTGTCGAGGCGCTGGCCCGAGTGCTGGCAACATTCGATGCCGGTCGGCTGAATAGCCTGCAAGCGGAGAGAGTGTGTCGTGGTGCTGCAGACCAAGACAGAGATAGTACCACACCGACGGCGTGCACCTAGTGGGCGGAGTCACTCGGGTAAGCACTCTCCTCGACCAGGCATTTTTGCCCCAAACACACTCACACAACACTCACACACACGCTCTCACATTGCCCTCGTTCGCTCTCGCTCGCTCGCTCGCCGGCTGATGAGATGCCCTTTGTTGATGTTGTTTGTCTCCGTCAGTCAGTCGGCCGCTGAGCACGCACGTGACTGCAGCAGCCGGTCCTCTCGATCGGTGCTCAATTTTTTACTCCTCTCCTCCCTCAAAATTACACTTGGCTGGAATCATAAATTACATTTTTTGAATGGCAATTAAATAATTTCTTTCAAATTTTTACGGAAAATATAAGTCATTGTTATTTTATTGACCAATTTAACATCATCTGTAAACATGATCCTAAATGAAAACAATCAAAATCTAAAGCATTTAAGAATCGCCAAAATAAAACTAATACACAAACTAATTGGGCGAGGATCTTCGAATTATAATACTGACGAGAGTTGTAGAATGACTTCAAATTATCATTTATAGACGGATTCCATGGTAGGACTCTTTATAGTCTTGCTTGGCTTAATTAACATGATTTTTTTTTACCGCAAATCATAAATCCGTTTGTGGAATTACTTTTTAGCTTTTTCCTCCTGGTTGGGCATACTGAAAAAAGGCTGCGAAAATAATTTTTTCACCAAATTCCAAAAAAAAATTATAGTTATACTTCACTTCCCTGTATTTATTTTCAAATACGTATGCAGGTTGTAATGTTTGTTAGGTTCAAAATTTTTATGTGATCGTCAAATTTGAAGTGCTTTTTGTAAGGATGGAATTTTTTATAGCAAAACTTTGAAAGATTATACAAGGATATTTTTTTTAGAAGAAATTAATTGAAACTTGTAAAAATTTAGAAATTGTAATAATGTTATCTGTTAATTGTCATTAATTAAAAATAATAAATTTAAAATGGAATAATTTTGCATTTACTCGAGTTACCACCAGTATTTTCCTGATGTGGTTTTCCACCTGATAAGAGCTATGTTGTTTTTAAAGCAATATTATTTATTTCAATTATAAATGAACGTGTTATTCCACAAAAAGGGAAACCTGCGGTGTAAGTTCGAATTCGCCACGTCTCTCTTTTTTATGTAATTCATGAAATATTTAGCACACAATCGCCCTGGCGCTGGACACGAGTGCTGACAATTTTGCATTGCAATTACCCCATCATGGCGAGTGCAACGTCCTTTGAGACAAGTTGGGCATACTAATAATTTGCTCAAGAAAAGTCCTCTCGGCGTGACTCATTATGTGCTGCATATTATTTCGAGAGCAGTTGAACAAACACAAAGTGACAACGTCGCCGCAGACAATCGTATATAATAATGAATAATGATGTTCAAATATGAGAGAGAGAGAGAGAGAGAAACAATGTAGCGCGGGTCAAAGCACCAACCCCCGGCTAATTACATTCCTCCTCGGCGCACCGAAATCTCTCTTAAGCGCACTGGTTGCCGAAGCTGATAAATTATTTGTTTTCCAAACAAGAACCTGCAGCCGTTGACATTAATCGCACTTGACAAGATTTTTAATCAATAAATCAACCGCCCCCGCGACATTATGGAGAGCAATCGAGGTCAGTGACTCTTGGCCTGAGAGTGAGCGCATTAGCAGGTGCATGTCGAAATGCACTTTCCACACCGGAATATGATCGCAGTATTTATGCATGTAATATCACTTGCAAGAGAGCAGGGATAATCTTTGATCTGCGCCGTCCACGGATGAACTGGCGTCATATTGAGCGTCTGATAACAATAAAGGGACTGAAAAGCTCCTTCCATGTCTGCGTCTGCAACAAAACCAATCACTCTTTTTTCAAAAAATAAAAGTTTTTGCCAAATCAACCTTCTTTTCAATGGCGGTGAGTGGCGGTTAGAAAATCTGAAAAATATCCAAAATTAAGGAACAACAAGGCAGCCAATGTTTTAATAAATGGTAGTGAACTTTCTGACTTCAATCTAGCATGTTGACTGTTGACCCAAGGTTTTTCGGCGTAAAATATATTTCTTTTAACCTTAGCCTTTTATTGATATTTTAATTACGTCTGGCCAGGTCATCTAACGACTACTTATAACTATATAGATTGAATTTTAATAACCAAATACGCTCAAAAAATAATTTGAAAAATATTTTGAAAGCTCTTAGTCTCTCACTATTTAATTTTTCATACTTGTCTATACCCCGAAGAACTTGCAGTCTAGAAAAAATAAAATTAAATAAAAATGTATTTAAAATTGAGTATAAATTCTTAAAAAAAAAATGTGTTTAAGTAGGATATTATTATTTTTAAATTTTTATTTCCTTGTCTGATGATAAAATTGTGTATTCATTAGACAAGAAACTTATTTCAGCAGATAACCCCATTGATTTAGGGCTTACCAATAAATAATTATTGGCCTCATTTTTTTCAATTAATTTACTTTATTGTTATTCGTGAAATTTGCTTGTTTCAGGTGCAACCGCCGTCTCGGAAGAGACCAGCGAAAACGTCCTGAGCCCAGAGGGCAGCATTTCGACCGCAGGACCAGAGGCAGAGGAGGCAGCAACCACGAGTGTCGCCACTCGCCACCAGCCGACCTCGCGTCGTGCTACCTACAATCAAACGGTGCCGCGCTCCGCCGGTGGCGCTGCCTGTGAGATGCGGCGGACACCGTCGTCGCAGAACAAAGGCAAGTCGAGCGAACGCAGCGAGTCTGTGCTCGCAGCAGCCCAAGCGAGCGAAAATTCGCCTCCTCGGCCCGCGACCTTGACTCTCGGGGTCGCCGGCGATGCCTCCGTGCTGAGGTTGGCACCCCTCCGAACACCCTCGCCACCTCCGCGCGCCCCCTTCGCCCCCGAATCCGGCGTTTTCCGCCTCTTCGAGCGGCGACGTGGGGCACGCAAACAGCCAAGATGGCTCTCATGACGTGCCTTTTCTCGTGTTGCAGTTGACAAGAGCGGCTCGCCCAGGGTGACCCTGCGCCTCCACCAGGTCAAGAACAGGGATGATAAGAGGTCCCTGCAGGCCAAAGACGCGGCCAACTACGAAACCAGGTGAATTGAGGCCCCGGAAGCGATGCCACGGCCCGCCGAAGGCCATCGAGTCATTGACCCCCACTCATTCTCATGTAGTGCACTCGGCCCTGAGATTCCCGCAGGTCACGTCGCGGTGCCCTACTTACGGAAACCACCCTTTTGAAAGCCTTAAATATATTGTTATTTTGAGTAAATGTTCCATTCGAACACTTTAAATTCAGGTCAAATTCGTTATGCAAATTTAAACAAGTGCATCAAAATAGAATTTCAATGTGACCTGAACAAAAACATTTTGCTTGTTAATTAGGCAAATACAATTCTATTTCAATTCCATTTAATAACTTAATTTTAAATGTTGACGGCGCCTTTTTATTCAACATTTACTTTTAGAGCAAAGGTCTGGAAGAGAAACTTAAGTTATGAATTCTTTTAATTTAATTTGAAACGGAGTTGTTTAGTTATTATCAATCCAATTATTATAAATCCTTAGTGTTTATTTATTAACTTCAATACAAATTTTCAGGCTGCAATTCAGCATAATGGACCAGAAGGCGGAGGACATCTATGAGTTCAAGAGCGGCAAGGACGGGTCGCCCAACAGCCCTTCCGAGGCAGACTCTAAGATCAAGGACAGTGAAAACATCTCAGCTAACGCCCCGCAACCCACCAGCCCCAAGAAAGATGAAAATGAAAAGGAGGCAACCAAAAGGGGTGCTTCCGAGCTGGACCTGAACGACGATGACGAGAGCAAGCGGAAGCGGCGCAAGGAGGAGAAGGCAGAGGTCAAAGGTCCTGGCAGGTCCACGGGCCGTGCTGTCGACAAGTCTGTCAAACCAGCTGCCGCCAAGGGAGCCGCCGCCTCCAAGGTCTCCAACACCGCCTCCACCGCCCCCGGCGAACGCAAGAGCCCCTCCAACTCGGCCGGAAATAGTCCGAAGGCCTCGTCCAAGGGTGACAGTGAGAGTGACGGCGACGATGGCAAACGCGACCCTGGCCCCAAGGTGCCTCCCCTCAAGATCGTCATCCCCCAGCAGAGTTCAAGTGAACAGGAACAGGGCACCCGTAACGGCAAGAACGGCAACGGCAGACACCAGGCGCTGCCCTATGTGGTCACCTCGAGCAGCAACGACTCGGAAGGCGCTGCTTCGGACAAGGTCGAGGTCCAGCCTGTCGGCACCTTGGCCATCAAGGACGAGAAAAAGGATGCTGCAACTCTGCAGGTGAATTTCCAAATAATTTTTTTAAGTTGAATCCTGGACATCGATAGACCTTGTCTCATGACAAGACCTATGCACGTCCAGGGAAAGTGAATTGCCGTAGTTAAGCGCGGGGTTTGTTTTTAAAACTTCTGGGTTCCTGAGCTGCGGCACATTTTGTTCTACTCTAAATTATTTTCTTAGTTAAATAATTCTTATAACATATCTTCTATAGATTGTGCTCTAAATGATTTGAATAAATTTAAAAAAAATTTGTCTTATTTTGTTTTTAGGAGGAGAGATCTCAGCGGGTTTTGCGCAGCTCTCACCGCTCCTCAAACAGCCACACTGGTCAGAGTTCCTCTTCCGCCCTCGATTCCATGGCCAACAGTCCGAGCCCGTCCAAGTCTGACGACAAATCCGAGGCTGGCCCCAGCACCGACGTGGTTTCCGTCGAAGTGCATCCGCGCAAGAGGAAAATCAAGGCCAGCAAAGAGTCTTCCGTGGAGAGTGTTCCTGAGCCCTCCAATAGTCATAGCGACCCCAACCCCACTGAAACTGCCCCTGCCACCAACTGCTACGAGATGTTCTTGAACATTCGCAGACAGGTAATTTAAAATCTCCAAATGGATTTTGTATTTCTAAATACATTCTAATAATTTGAAAACCTAAATGGAATTTAAATTTTTTTAGATTGACCGGAGAAGAAAAGGCTTATTTCCTGTTCAACCGAAGCCTCCGCAAGGCTTCAAGGACTACTTGATGAACAAGTGCACATATGTCCTGGCTGGAAAGGCCACTACTCGAGTGAGGATGCAGCCGCCCCCGCAGACCCTGCCACCTCCAATGAAGGACCTCTTCGTTGAGCAGGAAAAAGCAAGATACAGACTGTGTTTGCAGGTACTTACCAATATTTGTTATTTTAATAATTATTTACGTCCTGGAAACAGCAAACCTTACTTTGCAAAGCACTGTTTGTTCTCAAAGCCAGGCAAGAGCAAAGATGCCTCAATACACAGCTTAATGGGCCGTCTGGCTTATTGAGTTCCAAAATTTTGGCACATTTTCTTGATGCATTAAAATTTATCCTTTGTTAAAAACAAATCTTTGAAAAAGAGAAATAGTTGCTAAATTAGATTGAAAATACTAAAGTTTAAATCTGTGTTCACAGCATGTGATAGAGAAAGAAAAGTTGGTGCTCTCTGTGGAGCAGGAGATTCTGAGGGTGCACGGTCGAGCGGCTCGGGCGTTGGCCAACCAGTCGCTTCCCTTCTCGGTCTGCACCATTCTTAAGGACGAGGAGGTCTACAATGTCATCACACCTGAGCAAGAAGAGAAAGACCGGAACGCCAGGTCAAGATACAACGGCCGACTCTTCCTTAGCTGGTTACAGGACGTCGACGACAAGTGGGAAAAGATCAAGGTTTGCTTCTATTTTTGACATAATAAATATCTTTGCATTTTATCAATTAATAATAAAATAGATCAATTTAAATTTATATAAAAATAGCTTGGACCGTGTTCAGATTTAAGAGTTTTAATTAAAAAAAAAGAAACTAAACTAGAACAACCTTCACTCTCTTTTCTTGAACAAAATTTTCATAACAAATTTTTTATTAATTAAATTGTCAGAAAGTAATTTTTGTGATTCAAATTTTTTTAGGAAAACATGCTGTTGCGACACCACAAAGAGGCGGACGCCCTGCAGGCCATCCAGAAGATGGACTGGGAGTGGAAGCTGAAGGAGCACTCACTGTGCGAATTGAAATCGCAGCCGGTGATCGACAATACTCACGTACCGCTGGTGCATGTGTCGGACGACTTTGACTTGCTGCCAGCCTGAGCGGCCACCCAGCTGCTGGTCAGGGATGAGAGGCTCACTTGCTGGGGAGGTGCAGCTACAGGGTACTCACCAATTCTCTTCAGTTGGTTATCATTCGACTCACCGTTCGTTCAGTTCTCTATAGAGCTGGCTGTCAAATCGATGTCACATAGCCGATCTGATATACTCGACTTCGGACTTTAAATCTTGCTTGTTACTTTTTTCTATTGTCTCAGGTTCGGACGGCTTTTGTAAAAAAAGAGATTGTTTTTCTCCATGTGCTGATCTTAGTGTATTATTCACTTTTTTGCCTCAAGCAATGTACAGATGGATGTTTTGAAGCCGGACCTGAAGAATTTTGATCCAGTATTAACATAAAACGTGCAATTTTAAACAAAAAGCAAGAGTTTCGGAGTTGAGTGTGGATTTAATCACCGTCGTTGCCACAAATTTGAGAACGATGTCGCGGAAATAACCACGTAACTGGCATTCAAGTCTGTTTAAATATCTCTGGATTTGTCACTTGTGATACTTTGTTTGGCGTCCATGTCGACGCCAAATGATTTTGTTCGACTGCTATGAATACAATTGTAAACTTCTCAATATTCACGAGATGTATGAAATGTATGAAAAAAATAAAACAGCAAAAACTAATTTCAATCGACTTTTATAACATCTATTTATTTCTTCTCTTTGTCCTCAAAATACGTGAAATCAATTGGTTTATCATATCCCATGAGCTTTCCATAGTCTTCAGGGTTGAAGAAAAGGGAAGAATCAACCAGTAGAGGTTTTCCGTTCACCCGGAACGATTCAAACATGCCCAACATATCAGGCCGAAACACATCCTCTTGCTTGAACTTTGTCTACAATTTAAATCGAAATTAGAAATATCTCGAAATATGATAATTCAACAAATTTACCTCCACTCGGCCGTTCAGAAAGCTAAGAGTGACTGCAGTGTAAGTCTCCGTTTCCGAGTTGTAGTACATATCTGTGACATATTTTTTGGTAATGTAGTGAATCAAGAGGGGAGTGACGATGGTGAAGAATCCAATAAAAGAGGCCATCGTGTATGTCGTGCCTGCCCCGTACATTTCGATGAACCGTGTCCAGATAACGGGCTGGATGATGCACCCCATGATGCTTGTGCCAATGGTGAAGTACTTGATGCTCTTGACCTGAGAGACCAGACTCCCTTGGTAGATTTTCTTGTCAACATTTTCGTCTGAAGAGTTGGGAGGCGACGACGTTGAAGAGAATCTGCACAAATTATTCAGAGACAATATTCTCGGTTGACCACTCTGAAGCACTTTTGCCGGAGGAGTCTAAAATTTAAATACAAATATTAATTGATGGTACATCAAATTTAAAAAAAAAAATTATTAATTATAAAATCCTTGGCCAACATACACATACCTTGAGTTGTTTGGTGTTGCCACACAAAAAACACGAATTTGACCCATTTCTCGAGGGAAAAATTGGTACTCTTTTCGCTAGTAGCAAGTTTTTGTGGCTGGAGATTGACCTGACGAGCAATTTAAGCGATTGTGCCATTTTTCGGCTTGAAAATTTAAATAATCACTGCAATTCAGTTGCAATCTACGACACTTCCAATCTTTTTGTTTTGCAATTTTTAAGTTTTTCATCGTTTGCCGGGTTTTGTTTACAGTAAACCAACTGAAATAAAAATTTTAATAAATAGATGATGTGACTAATTAATTTGGTTGAAATGCTCTCAAAATGGATATTTTTGTAAAAACGTTTTTTAAGCGTAAACTTAAATTCATTTTTTTTATACTTTGAACTTTGAAAGTAAAAAAATAAATACATGCTTAACATTAAAATTGGCAATGTTGGCAAAAGTGTAAAAGATTGACGAAAATTAAAACCAGGTGGCAGCACCATCACCAAATCAAAATCAGCCGAAAATGGCTTCGTCTGTGCTGAGACAGGTGCTAAATTTCGCACCGAAAGTTCTCTTTCGGCCACTAATTTCAAAAGGTATTAAAATTTTGAGATTTTCATCGAAAAATTCACAATTTCGTCTTTACCTTGACGTATTCATAAGTTGTGATATAAGTCTAAATTCAAAATCCAGAGCACAATTTATTCAGCTCCGAAACCAAAACAAAGATTTTCATGTTTTATTTTTTATTTTCCAGCTCCTGTCTCGTCGGTGCTCGCCGGCCAACAGCTCAGGTTCAAAACCACAGAAGCGGCTCCGGTTGAAGAAACCAGACGTAGGTTTTTGTTTTCATTGTCACAAAAATACCAAAGTCAATGATTTTTTGCAAACAGCGACCGTTCGAAAGGCTGATGTTGGGGCGAGAGCTCAACTGATTGACTTTGGCAAGTACGTGGCCGAGTGCTTACCTAAGTATGTGCAGAAGGTGCAGTTTACCGCAGGCGACGAGCTGGAAGTCCTCATCGTACCAGAAGGTGTGGTGCCTGTGCTGCAGTTCTTGAAGGACCACCACAACGCCCAGTTCGTCAATCTGGTTGACATTGGCGGAATGGACGTTCCCAACAGGCAATACAGATTTGAGGTCGGAAGGAGAGCCTAGAAAATTAATTTTATTTAAATTCAATCGACTTTTTAAATTTATAATCAATATTACTGTTTTCAGATCATTTACAACCTGCTGTCTCTGAGGTATAATTCTCGAATCAGAGTGAAAACCTACACAGACGAGTTGACTCCGATTGACTCTTGCAACGACGTCTTCAAGGCAGCCAATTGGTACGAGCGAGAAATTTGGGACATGTACGGTGTCTTCTTTGCCAACCACCCCGATCTGAGGCGCATCCTCACCGATTACGGTTTCGAAGGCCACCCCTTCCGCAAAGATTTCCCTCTGAGTGGTTACGTGGAGGTTTGTTGAATGAGATTTAAGGAAACTCATTTTTGTTAATATAAATTTTCCATCAGGTGCGATATGATGATGAAAAGAAGAGGGTGGTCTGCGAGCCTCTTGAGTTGGCTCAGGAGTTCCGCAAATTTGAGTTGTCCAGCCCGTGGGAGCAGTTCCCCAACTTCAGAGCCCCTCCTGCCTCAGAAGAGATCCCAACTGCAGAAAAGAAGTAATTTCCCCTTGTCTTGTAGATACGTGACAAAAGTTGTAAAAAGAACTGTTGAATTTCTGTTACAAATAAAAAAAAGAGCCAAAATGATATCAGAAAATAAAACGCTGTGTTTTAAGAAACTATAATTTTAATTTAATCATTTGGAACAAATTCGGAGACTGTAGTACAATTAAAAGGTAAAAATGAGTCTTAAGATGGCTTATTGCAAATTAATATTAAGGTTGTTTCTTCACTTCAGGCAGTACATTACATTTCTTCTCAAAAGTTCAATTTACATCGCCTGCACCAATTTGATGCACTTAATTATCAGCTTCTTCATCTGAATCGTGTTTGAGACCATTGCCGTTTACAGAGGTGCCGCCATTGGTAACAGCTTTGAGCAGTACTCTCTTCTTGTCCTTCTCAGGGGTGGGTGGTGGATTAGGCTGGAAAAAAAATTAAATTTAGTTTGGTTATATTAATTTTGGGTTCAGAAATCAACGCAAATATCTTTAAATAAAGGTCATTAAATTGATAATTGGAAATTAATTACGGCTTAAAATTAGAAAAAAATTAAATAGTTTTTATTTTTATCATTAAATTACTGACCGCTTTCCGCTTGACAGCCAACGAGCTTGATCCACTATCAGAGGACGACGATCCACTTGGAGGTCTGCTCGATTTATAATTCATTTTATATTTAGATTAAAACTTACAGAAATTATTAATACCCAAATCCAATTTGCTCTGATTCCACAATCTTGGGTTTTGATGAAGTGGCGCTCTCGGCAAACTCCTCGGCCATAATTTCATTGACGTCTTCAATAATTCTTGTCGAAAGTGGAGTTCCCGAGTCATCCTGGGGCAGCGAGTACGGACTGCAGAGAGCCAGCAGTTTTGATTCAATCTTTGCTCTCAACTCCTACCAATAACAAAATTAATATTTCATGCTGGAATTTGAATAAAATATATAATTACTCTAGCATTAAGCTCCAGAACATCATCAGTGTTTTGTTTGGGCTTGGCGCCCCTGGCCTCTGCCTTCTCCGCTTCCTGCAGCGCCTTGAAGTCCAACTTGACTTGCTCGATAAGGTCTTGAAGCTTGTTTCCTTCAGGCTGTTGAACTTTTTTAGAAATTTATTATAATTTTTCTTTAGGCAAATTTAATTTTAATACCTTCTGACATGGCATCTTCAGTACGTCCACTAATTATGTTCAAATTTTTGGCAAACTCGGCATCGTCCTCAAAACGTATCAGGTAAGCAGCCTTGGTTATGTGGATTTTCAGCGGCCACACAACTAGGCCGGGGAAGTTTTTAAGTTCTTGTATGATTTTATCAAGATAGACAATGCACTGAGTATCGTTGTTGTGAAACAAAATTTCTGCCTGCAATGTCATGGCGTGGAGTTCTTCAAGCTTGTTGGCCTTGGCAGGGAATCTGGAAATTTTATATTTTTAAGATAATTTTCATAATTGTTGTAATTAAAAAAAACTTTCATATCAATTAAATAATGATATAATTTAAGAAACAACTAATGTATGAAAAAAAATTAGAATAATGTTGAACAATCTTATAATAAGATTTTTTACTGTCTTGAAATTTAACAAAATAAATGTATATAAAGACCTGTCGAAAATGCTCTTGGCCAGCAACAACATCTCCCAAGCTTGCATCAACGATTTGGCAGGTTCTTCCAACTCGCTGAGTTCATCTTCGTCGTCCTCCGCCTCATCTCCATTATTTCCTGAGGAACTACTTGGTCCAGCTGAAGTGCTTGGTCCAGGAGCGTCCGAAGGTCCAGCTTCGTCATGATCTTGCTCTCCCGAGTCTCCGTTGCCTTCTTCCTCGGATTTGTTGGTATTGACTGTAAATTGAGGTTACAATTAGGTGAGATAAAAATAATTTGCAAAATACCGAACCTTCTTTGTTTGCTATCTGTCTGAGCAGGCAGAAAGCGTACGAAATGTAGATGGGAGCCATGACCAAGTCGAGTTCAATGTCTGTGTCTCGGATCTCATTGAGGACAGCTTCATAGTCTTCAACCGCTTTGCCCCATTCTTGCTTCACAAAGGCGAGACGAGCGCTTTTCAGCAGCTCTTGACTGCAAATTAGAATAAATTCGGTAACTATAAAAGCAAAAATTCTAAAAATTCCTCAAACAGCGGCTGGAATTAACACAATTTGAATTCCTTGTTTAGCTTGGAACTTACCAGACTCGGGTCAGTCCCATTTCGAGAATTTTATGCAACGATTATTATGTCTCGGATTAAATTTCAATAAATATTCGCAGAGAAAATGCAAAATTTTGACCCCTTTTCCAAGCTTGAGCGCACCTTCTGCTCACGAGAAAATCGCCATGTTTTGGTAAAATTTGGCGGCAAGAGGTTCTCCGAGCACAAAGTCCATCTGTCGGCAGATTTGTGAACTAATAAAATGGGTGTGGCTTCCTATGACCTGACACCTGACATGAGGAGCACGTTCTCACATTGCTGAACGAATTAGTTCCTTTTTTACTGAATTTTACAGTCAAGATTTCAAACACAAGGATGCCATCGCTGGAAGAAAGCATCGGAAAGGTTCTGCTTTCAGAATCATCGAAAATCTCCGAGGTAGGAACCAATGTGCTCGTGTTTTTGACCAAATTTGTTAAATGACGTCTTTGAGCCGGCATGTCTGAAAGCATGGCCATTTCCAGTTAGGAAATTTTTTTGGACTTCAAAACAAAACTTGGCTCTGACCTTCATCGTTTCATTTTTTAGGGAACCGAGGAATTGAAGGTGGCTTTCAAGAGTCCGGATATTGTTCCTGGTCTCTGTCAAGTTCTTGGTACCTCTCAAAAGCAGGAGGTCCGGCAGTATGCAGTTGTTCTGCTCAGAAAACACCTCCAGCGCAAGAAGCACTGGATGCAGTTGAAAGCTGATGTTAAGAAAGGGTAAAAAAACAATTTCAAAATCTTCAAATATTAACCAATTTTTTTTCAACAGATTGAAAGATGGACTTCTCCAGGCGTTGATTTCAGAGCCGACAAAGAGTGTCAAGTCAGCAATTGCTCAGTTGATGGGCGTCATTGCCAAACATCTGAAGCAAATTGACAGGGACTGGCCGGAACTGTTGCAGTTTTTCCAGAATTTCATCACCAATAATGATCCAGAAAAACAAGAAGTTTGTCTTATCGAATTGACTTGATTGCCTTGATTTAATTTAATTTTTTAGATTGGTACTTTGGCCCTGAAGAATGTCCTTGACACTTGTTCTGAATCCATGGCCAACTTCATGCCTGCCTTCTGCATACTCTTCAAGCATGTGTTGGAAACCAATACCAACTTGGCATCCGACAGCGTCTTCAACACCATTATTGGCATGAAGCATCTCATTCCGGAGCTCAGCGAACAAAAGGTTGTTGGTTATTTTAATATTTTGATTTATATTATTAATTCTATATGAAATCAGGCTTGTGTGAGTGCGTATGCAAACCTGCTGCCAAAGGTGATGGAAGCTGCTGCTGCCATGGCCGCGGTCGACGAGGACAAGGCTGTGGAAGAGCTTGGCATTTTGGACGATTTGCTTGAAGAGAACGCGTCCGTCATTGGCACACACTTGCAATTTGTGATTTCGGCTTGCACGCAGATGGCCATTAATTCAGCACTGCCTGATGCAGTCAGAGTCAAAGGCACACTCCTGGCTGGTTGGGTTGGTCGCAGTAGAAAGAAGGTTCGTCTAAATTAAATTTTATAATAAACATTTTTTTTTTGCACCAATTTAAAATTATTATGAAATTTTGAATAAATTTTTTTTGCCAGGCTTTCCTGAAACAAGGATTACTGCAGCCCACTCTTGAGGCGCTTTTCAATCTGATGAGTGCCCCCACTTCTATGGAGGAAGAGGAGGAAGCTTATTTCACGGCTAACGTCGAGTCGACCACTCCTCAGCTCTGCGCCTCACAAACTCTGGACACACTGGCTCTCTCCCTTCCCCCCGACAAGCTGATTCCTGTCCTTGTTAGTGCCTTATTGATTAATTCAATTCTATGAGTTAAGGAAATTTTGTTTTAGGCAACCTTCATCGAGCCGGCTTTGCAAGGAGACAATGTGTACAGAAAGAAAGCTGCTTATTTGTCTCTATCTGTGATTGCCGAGGGGTGCACCGAGTACATTAGGACCAATTGTTTGGAGAATTTTGTTCAATGCATTGGAAAAGGAATCACAGACCAGTCCACAGTGGTGCGAAATGCAGCACTCTTTGCTCTTGGCCAATACTCTGAATACTTGCAAGTAAGGAAATTTTAAAATTAAATTCTTTTGCCACGTTGATAAAGGAAAACAATTTTTTATAAATTATGAATAAATAATTTTTTCTGCAGCCTGAGATCACAAAATATGCTCCTCTCCTGATGCCCATTCTGTTTACCTATCTCGAGCAACTCTGCGTCAGTCTCCAATCCAGTGGAAAAGAACCTGCAGGTGTCGACAGAATGTTTTACGCCCTGGAGACTTTCTGCGAGCAGCTGAATGATGATCTTATTCCCTATCTGCCCACCCTGATGGAAAGACTCTTGATGACTCTGGACCCAAGGTTCTCGATTCACTTGCGAGAACTGGCCCTCAGTGCGATCGGATCGACCGCAATGGCTGCCAAGAAGAACATCCTGCCCTACTTCCCTCACATCATTGAGGTTCTCAAAACTTTCCTCATTGTGCACGCAAGCGAAGATGACAAACCTCTGCAAGTTCAGGCTCTAGGTTTGTTTTTTCTCTTCAAATTTATTTCTCTTTTTGAAATTGTTAGAATTCTCATTGATTTAGACACACTTGCCATCTTGGGCAGAAACATTGGAGAGGAAAACTTCAGACCTCTGGCTTGGGAAAGCTTGAACCTTGGAATTCAGTTGGTCAAGTCGAGTGGAGATGACGCGGATTTGAGAAAAGCGTCCTATGGTCTCTTTGCATCTATTTCAACTGTTCTGAAGGGTGAAATGTCAGCGTCTCTGCAGGAAATTGTGCCATTCTTGCTGCAGAGCATCAAGAGTAAGGAAGGAATTGTGGTATGAAAATTTAAAAAATATACAGGTGTTCCAAATTTAAGTTTAAAATTGCACAGACCCATTTCAAAGAGGACGCAGACAAAGTTTATCCAGTTTACGATGAGGTGAAAGATGAATTGGAAGAAGATTTGGATGCTGAATTCACTGATGATGAGGAAGTCTGCTCAGACATTGTTGGTTAGTCGGAAACTTAAAAAACCAAAACAAATATTAATTATTGGGCAAATCAGGTTATGACCTAAAAAATGATTACACGGAAGAGTCGGAGGAAGCTTGTCTTGCTCTTAAGGAAATTGCTGCTGAAGTTGGGTATGTCAGTAAATTTAAAGATTATTTTTGTTTCTTGACTGATGTTTTACAGTGAGGCTTTCACTCCCTACCTAAAGGAGTCGTTTACCGAGGTATATTCTGCCTTGAACTATCCTCACCAGAGTGTAAAGTGTGCTGCCCTTGGAGCTGCAGTGCAGATAATTTTGAACTGGTCAAAAATCCCCACTCCAGACGCTGCCCATGGTTAGTGGGGTAAATTTTTTGTAGATAAAATTATAAAAAACTTTTTAAAACTCTAGAAGTGGATGATATCATCTTGAGCATTGTGCCGAAAGCGGCTGAACTTGTTCACTGCGACCCAGACTACAATGTGGTCATGGCGTCTTTGGAGGTTTACTCAGACCTGCTGAAGGAACTGAAAGGAATTGTCCTGAAAGGAGAGGGTCACAAAGAGGCAATCATCAACTGCGTCAAAGCTGTTCTGATGAACGAGGCAAGCCCATAAGAACTTCAGCAATTTTTTAACTTGAAATTTTTCTAACAACAGACTGAGTGCCAGAAACAAGAAGGCCAGGGAAATGACAATGACCAGGAGGATGACGAAGACGACGGAGAAAACGATGCTGAGCAGGACATGGCGTTGTTCGAATATGCCTCTGAAGTTCTGAACCCCTTGGGACATGCCATGCCCAATGACGACTTTGGAATTGTCTTCAGAAACCTTCTCCCCATTTTGATCAACAAAACTGTAATTTCAATATTATTAGAGTAAAAAATCTTAATTTTTTATTAAACATGAATTTTTAGAAAAAGAAGTGCACAGCAGGTCAGAGGTCTTTCAGCACAGGCATCATTGCAGAATGCATGGAACCCTTGGGAGTTGGTCAGATTCCCTTGGTTGCCAACCAACTTCTGCCTCTGCTCTTGAAATTGGCCCAGGACAAAGTGCCCGACGTTAGAAACAACTCGATTTTCGCTCTCGGAGAGCTGGCATTTCATGGCAAAGATGCTTTGTTCCCGTAAGTCGAATTACAACAATAATAATAATTAATTATTAAATTGATCCCTTGCACACAGGCATTATGCGCAAATTCTGCAAGTTTTGTCTACAGTCATATCCAAGAACGACAATGGCCCTCAAGTCTTGGACAACATTTGTGGTGCTATTGCTCGGCTCATTGTGACCAACGTTTCTGCAGTTCCACTTGATCAGGTTTAATATCATTATTTATCAGAATGATTTTTTTTAATTTTGATTATCCAGGTTGTGCCAGTGTTCATGATGCATTTACCATTGAGAGAGGACCACGGCGAGATCAAACCTGTCTTTGACAGTATCTCCTGCCTCTACCAAATGGGCGCTCCCCAACTTGCCAATCACATTGACAAAGTCATTTTGACTGCTGCTGATGTGGTTGGAACTGACAAAGTGACAGCTGGTTAGTTTTCCCTTCATTCTTTGTATAATAAATTACAAAATTGATTTTTAAACCTGAAATGTTCACAGATGTGGCAGCAAACATAGTTGAGCTCATCAAATGCATCCAGCGAGATTTCCCAGACAAATTCGCTGCCACCGTTAGCTCTCTGGCCCCAGAGGTGAGTGCCCGACTTCAGCAAGCATTTTCTGGATAGATTTGTCTAGTGCCTTATTGGAGAACGCTACTAATTTTATTATATTTATCAATTCAAAAATCTCAATGGGGCGACCTAGCACTTTATTACTTACATATACTGAACAAATTTTTGTCTGCCACATGTGATTTATGATTTATCTGAAAGTCAAGAATATTATGAACCAAAAGCATTATGTGAAATTCAATAAACATGTTGTCCTGAAGCAACGCAGACATGCGTGTCATTACATGTGAAGCAACCACTGGAGAAAGTATTAACATGGCGCTTTGAAGAAGAGCTTAATTTCTGATGTGTTCTTTATCACAGGATTTTGGCTCAGCTGACTGTTATCTGAATATTGTGCTTAATATCGGCACGCTATTTAGCATTCCTGTAGTCAACATTGGTTGCACCGCCATTAAAATTGTGCTTGCAATTTGTAAAACAATCGACTGCACTTTTATGAAGGATAAATATTTTCCAATTGATTCCAATCATGTAAGTAAATGAACAATTGTTCATTATTTTTTTATCTATTTCGGTTGCGCAAGTGCTGCAAAATGTAACATTTTTCTTGTTATTTTCTTTGACACTACCGTAGTTTTTTTCTTGAATATTTTAAGTTGAATTTAAATAATTCAGTAATGGCGGAGTAATCGGGCGCACAAGTGTTAAGTCCCGTGGGCTGAAACTTAAATAGCATTGCTGGTATGGGAAAAGCGGGCCGTTTGAGTTCCAGTCCGGGCCTGATCATTCTTGCTTGATGAACAGTTAATTGTAAGCATTCTCACTTTTTTTTCTTAATTTTGTCAAATCTTTGAAAAAAGGAACTTGGTGTGTAATCAATCTTTATCTCTTCGCGTCCACTCTTGTTGTCCAGCCCGATTGATTCACCTGATCGCGACTGGCCGTACTTACTTGCCGCCTTGTGTCGCTGCCCGATCTGTTGTCAGACAGATAAGCATTTTGCATTTTACAAGTGGATCCGCACGCGTCATCGCAATTCCGACTTTTTCAGTGACGTCAAGCTGCATATTATTTGAGCTCTTGGCGCATCTCGTTGCCAAACGAAAAATAAAAACAGAAAAAGGCGTATTTTCTTTTCACCCTGGGAATTACAGATTAAAGAAAAAGAAAGAAAAATGCAAATCAAATCCGGGAACAAAATGCGTGGACCTCGTCACACTGTCCAAGTGCGTGAGAAAAAGTTTCTCTTGACTTTCCTTGTCTTTGAATTGCGTTGCACTATTTGGTGCCAAAAAGAACGTTTAAAAATTATCAAGCACTTTTATAAAGTGGTAAAGAAACGTATTTCAAGGTGATCAGTAGCAGTTAATTTAGATCCGAACAATTATCAATTAGTCTGGAAGCCCCAGTGACCTACTTTTGCCAAATTATTCATTGAGCTCATTGCCGCAATGGCCAAGCATTAGAAAAATTTTATCTGATAATCTTCCCAAAATTCAAGTTTTTTGCCTCACCTTGGAAAAATTCTTGAATAATACCGCTGGAGAAAGAGAAACGCTAGGAAATTGATAAAATAATATAATATTAGGGAGATTAAAGAAATTAATCCTCAACTGCAGCAATCAGGACTATTACTAGTGACAATGATTAATCAGCATTATTGGATCAATCGCAGGTAAAATAGAAAAACATCTTAATTATTTGGATGAGAATAAAGAAGCTTGAACAGTAAATCAAGACAACATAAAATTGGGTTCATTGTTATGTATTTTAAAGCCAGATTCAATTATTTTATTAGTTGGCGTAATGCACAAAAGTTTGTTCGTAAGAAAGAATCAAATAGTGAGACAATTTAATAAATTATATATGTTTTATTTTACCATGGAAATTATTTGCCAGCAATTCTTAAAAAAAAATTGGGTGATTTATTGTAAGTTTATTATTTATTGAATAATTGTATGGTAATAACAATGGAACAGATCAGCCGACGTAGGTGGGGTAAGAAATCTAACACAAGTTTTACAACAACATTAATTTTAGTATTTGCAAAATTAAGAGAAGTATTTAGCAGAAAAAAATATTTAAAAAAAACTGTGATAAACAAAATTTTATTAAATTGCATTTTGATTCTTCCAATACAACATAGCAATACATATTTTATTTTAGAGTATAGTCACCTATTTCGCCATCCTGTATCTAACAAATTTTGATAAATTAAAAAGATATTATTATTACATCCAAATTAATAGGAAAATCAAAGAATTTTTTAAATGAGAAGAGTACATAGGCTTTTCAGAGCTTGTTTGATTTTTATTTTTAATTGTTAGAAAAGTACGCAAATCTTCTGGTCGCATTATTTTGGCGCGCTCTCTATTTTAGGCTTCTTTGGGTGTGCTGCGCAGCCACGTGGTTTGAATAAATTTCAGGCACCACCAAAAGCGCGAATCCTTTTAAGTGCTCAAAATACGATACGAGTCCGCTGTAAATTTGCAAAATCGCGTAAAATCCACCAAAATAGCTCTTTTTCGAATACGAAAAACTTGTAGGGCAGCATAAATATTATAAAATTAGCATAAGCCTCTACAACTCACGTGCAGCTGCGTTGTTTTCCTTGGCGAGCTATTTCGGTCCAAAAATACCAAAAAAATTTATAATATAAAATAATTTTTCCAACACAGAACAAGATGAATGTGCATCATACGGAGGCGGCGGCGCCCTTGTTGCAGCGCTGAGATGATCGTCGCCCCTCCGTCGTCGGCGCCGCTGCGTTTTGCTTCTTCCTCCCACCCACCCAGCATCTCTCAGTGAATTAAAATTCTCGCGGCCAGTCAGTCTCAGTGGCTCGAGAGCCTTGGTGCTTGTCAGGCGAATCGGCCATGCAGGTGCTCTCCGCGCGCCCGACCGCCTCCTGGCTCGACCTTATCCTGACCTGAAACCTCCGGCTGTTCAATATAAGTACCCTTCGAAAACGAAAAAACATGGGTGCGAGCACCGACTTTTTGGACTCGACTCCCGGCATGGAGTTGATGACCAGGTCCAGTCTGCACTCCATGCGCAACCCCAGCCAGGTGTCCATCTTCCTCAGGGAGACCCTGACGCAGGAGGTGGACGAACGAAACTGGTCTTGGAGTAATCTCAGGGTAAGTGTCCATTTTACAGCTTAATTTTTTCATTCAAAACATTTGAAATCAAAATAGATGAATAACTGTCTTAATTTGGACGAACCTTTTACTTTAATTTGTTGAAGAAAAAATTCAGTTTTGTTGACCGTAATTATTTAAAACAATTTTATGCAATTAATTTTATTGTTTTTTTTTTATTCATATTACACCATAGACTTTCTATATTGCACCAATTTTTGTTAAAAGTCTAAATAATCATAAGTCCCAAAATTTGTTTAGCACATATTTAAAATCTCAATAAAAAAAGTAAAATGAAATTTGCTCAATTATCAATAATTCGTTAATTCGGGATTTTATTTAATCTTCTATAACTTGACATAATATTTTTTATGTTTTCAAAATCATAATGATATAACTTTTCACTAGAAGTTAATTTCTTAATTGTAAAAAGAATCCAATCAGACGAGATTTGCTGAGTGATAATTATCATTCGGTGCCCAAGGAATAACAAACAATTGAATCTGAGATCGAAAACCTTGGCAGTGAGTGATTTCGATTTTCACAACGCCTATATGCGGTGTTATCTGTCACGGTTTGGAGGCCGCACGCGGCCGCAAACGCCAAGAGCAAACTTAATTAAATTTATACTTCCACCCTCTATAACAAAAGCAAAGGGAGAAAGAAGTGATAAAAAGCGACCCCTCGTTGACATTGCAGCGCCAGTTCCGCGTCAAAGGGCTCGAGGAGCTGTACGTTCACTACCAGAGGAGATTGCAGCACGCGTACTTCGCGGTCTTCCTGCTGCTCCAGATCATCTGCACTTGCAGCCAAATTGCAGTCGTTACATCCACCACGGTAAGAAAAACGCAAAAGCGAGTTAATTTTGTCGTATAAAAGGCATAAAAGCGCTCGTTTCTTTGATCGAGGTCGTTTCTTGATTGGAAAGACGTCGTCTTTCTTTTATGTCCTGACGAGGGAAGTGCACCGAATGAGCGGAAAGACCTAGAATATCCTAGGATATTTTGTTGCACATCACTTTTTGTGCAGATTGTTTAGAATCGTAAAGAATATATCTCTTTAAAAATTTTCTTATAAAAAACTTCTGTGGAAAAAGTACAAATAGCCAAATATTTTGTTCAATCATCTCCTCCGACAAACGGCCTGATACAAATTTAAAAACATAATTATATTTTAATAATGAAAAATGATTTGAAAAAATTTGATATTGCCAAGAATATTCAAGATAGATTTTTTATTAGGTAAAACGTAAGAAATACGATATTAATACCAAATTTAACCTTTTTGCTGTGCACGTTCTAATTCATTATGTCACAATTTTACAATCCGATTTTCCTTTTTTTAAACCGCATTATACATTAGAAAAAATTGTCTTTTGCATTTGAAAATATCGACTTTAGCGAAAATTTGGATTTATAATTTTGAAGACATTTGAAACTAAAAAAGCAACAACACAGTTACAAATTCTTTTCCTGAAACTCTTCTGTTGAAAAGGCACAACAGTCGTTCAAACTTTCGCAATTTAAATAGTGTTTCAAATTAGAGAAAATCATCCTTTTATATTTTTAAATTGACAAACTGTTTTTGAGCTTGATGCGAAATTTCTGGACAGATTTTAATGCTTTTACGTCAACACATTTAAAAATTTATTTTAGATTCAAATTTAATTGTCTTGAATAATATTAATTTTGTTACTCCCCAACATGATATATTGTGGGAATTAAATTAATTATCATTTTAACAATTATTTATTCATTAAAATCACGGTGAAAATTAGAAAATTCAATTTTGCTGCGTAAAATAAGAAAAAAATTCTTATACCCTTAATTAAATGATGAAATTATTATTATAGCTTTCTTATTACCAACTCCATCTGATAACTTTTATACAGTTCTAAAAGTTCATATTGTTCCCTTATCATTTTGTTTAAAAGGAAACAAGATTTGTTGTCCTAATAGTAAGTTGTAAGACTGAATTTTTATTGTGAGCAACTTTCTTCCTCGGAGCCGGTGAATTGGCAATACTTAATATTATTGTTTTATAATCAGTCAATGCCAAACAGCGCGGATGCCGCGTGCATAAATTAAGCGCACGCTTGTATTCATCTAGGAGGAATGAGGAATTGCCCGCCGATCACGCTCATTTATTTATTATATTTTGCCGCCGCGAGACGCGTCTTCATTAACATGCGTATCAATTTCGTGTGGAATGCGAATTAGCTGCACTAATCTAGTTTGTTTTAGTGTGACGCTCGACTCAATCGGCACTTTGATAAAAACAAATAACTTGCGCAGTTTCGGAATTTGTTCTGTCAATTATCTACCGCGACCGCGTGTTTCCCAAAAAGTGCACAAATTTTTAAGGACATAATCCTTAAGGAATTCAATGGACGTAAATATTGCCATAAAACTGTTGAGAATGTGCAAAGGTCGGTGTCAATTCTCTATTTATTTCATAAATTATATTGTTGTTTATTTTTAAATAAATTAATATTTTTAAATTTTTTAAATAATATTTTTAAATTCAATTTTTTACTTTTATTATTACTCTTACTCCCTGTTATTTAGTGGGTTTCAAATCTGTTTTTATTTAATATTTATTTGTAATATCTAAAAAATTGCATTGAATGAAATGTGTAAGTTTTGATGTGCACTTGAAAGTCGACAAAAGGCGAGTGAGGAAGTGAACGCGAAGTAGGAAGTTGGCTTCTCGCCACCGGCTCTCTCAATGCGCCCGATATTGGCGAAACCGATCACGTTGGTGTCCATATCCACAGTGTCGCTAGCTCGTGCGGCCGACTGACCATTGTGCGAGATTTTTGCCAATCGAGTCTTCGAGAATTTCGCATGAATATTCATCCGAGAGGTGGAAATGAATCATTTCGAAAACAAGGACTAGAAGGCTTTGAAGAAAATTAAAACATTTCATTAATTCTCTAATTTTAAATGGGTAATTTAATTTATTTATATTACCTGATTGTTTTCACTGATAATTTAAAAGGTCAAAAAAATGAGAAATATTCCGCAAATTTTCAAAAGACTTTTGCATACATCCCTTTTGAAAATTGCAGCTTTGAAATTTAAAGTTTAAGAAACGATACATAATAGGAAAATTTAAAAAAAAATGTAAGGCACCTTGTTATTTTCGCTCTTGTACTCGTGAAGCTTTTTGATCTTTTTTTTTAATTTTTTTCAGTAGCATATTAGTCTTTATTTTGGCCTCGTTCAAAATTTTTATTTCAATTAAATTTTTTTATTTTTACTTCAGTAAATGGTGTTTCGAGTTCACAATTGATGCGATTGAATTAATTTTTTCCAACATGTTGGGAGAAAAATAGGCAAGAAATTCTATTGAACTCACACAAACTCATAGTCAAGTATTTATACAAAGAGGCAAGATAAATAATATCCGACCATACTCGTGATTTTATCACTTTTGTTAGACATGCCCTGTGAGTCATGTTTCACAAATTTTCATTATTTCACGTAATTTTCTTTTATCTGTGCCCTGAAAAATTCAATTTTATTTTTACAAGTTTGATAATCATTTGAAATTAGTTTAATGCACTGTCATTAGACTTAAAAACTTTAGATTTTAGCAAAATAATTCCAACTTTTTGTATCACTCCGTTGATGATTTTTTTTACGATTCTGGAAAACCACGCGGCGTCGTGTGTGACACACGCCTGTGGAGAGTCTGTTATGAGGTGACACAACAAACGTTCTCTCGCGATGAATTAATTCTTATCTCCTCTACTAGACTCGCGCGCGAGGTGTGGAGGCAGCGCGCGCCTTCTACTTATCGCTCGCACTTCAATTGCGCTCATTAGCGTGATGAAACGCCCTCAAAAAAAGCTTTAAGTGAAAAGTAAACGTTGACTTAGTCTCAAGGAATTAAATGCATTCGTAAAAATAAGCTTTATCGCAAAAATTGTGAAATAAATTTTGGGAAAAACTTGTACATTTTTAAATTCATTTTTTATTGAGAGCTAATTAAGTACCAAATTGGGTTTTTAAGATTTTTTATAATTTATAATTTTTTGCAATTTCCTAACCAATTATTACTGTCTCTAAAAATAAATACGCTTTAGTAACAATTAAGAAATAAATCCAATTTATACACACACAAAAATTCAATATCAGATTTCCTTGTTTAAATATTACAAAAAGGTAAATTACCTAAAATTTGTATAATTTTAAAAGAATAAAGTATTAGTAATGAAAACGAAAAAAATTTAACTTCAAAGAGCTTCATAAAAAGTTTAGTTCTGTAATAAATTTTGTTAATAATAAACCACCTGTGGAGTTGAAGCATTTTTTAAATGAATTTGCCGTCATTTTGTTTTAAATTGAATTTTCTTCATATCTTCCAACTGTATTTTCCTCTAATAAAAATTGAATTAAAAGTAATCTTTTAATTTGATAGGAGGCAAGCATGGTCGACGTGATGACCTACTCAATCTTGCTGTTGCTGTGCCTGCCGCTGTTTTTCCTCGCGTGCACCGAGCGCCTGATGCCGACCAGGGGCAGTTCGCCCTGGCGACCTGCCTTCATCTCGGCCATGGTGCTGGCCGCCCTGCTGGCCGCCGACCTGGGCCCTGTCGTCTACCACTATCAAGACGAGGAGCAACTGCGGCTACGGCCCTTGTACGGCGCCCACGTCATTCTCGCCTGCTACATTTTCCTGCCGGCGCCCACTGGCTCGGTGGCCGTTGGCTTTGGCCTCTTCACCATGTGCGCCCACGTGGCCTGCATGGCCCTTGTCTCCTATGAACCTGGCCACCCGCGATACGTCGCCAGGGTGAGTTGAAGTTTTTAATTTTAAATAGAAAAAAAATAGTTTTAAACTAGTTTTGGGTTTCTAAACTGTAAAATTCAATATTAATTTTAGAAATCAGTCGTTTTTGATGATCGTTTTCATTAAAAAATTTTATTGATTCTACAAGGAAGATTTGTAGTAAATTGGTTTATTCTTCACATAGTTTATTTTAAAAATTTTAAAATTTGTAGGAAGGCAAAATAATAGTAATTTAACAGCACCATTTGGTTGTACGAAGAATTTTGCCAGTATATTAAGAACTAAAAATTATCACAAAAGTAATGGAATGTAATTTTTAAAGAAAATCGTAAAAATTTTTACTTTTAAGTAAAAATTTTTACGATTTTCTTTATATCAAAATAATCAAGGTCCAAAATGAAACAAGTTTGTGTTGCAATTTGATTGACAGATTTTCGGTGAGGTCCTCTTCCTACTCGCCGTGAATGGACTAGGAATGTACTTCCGCCTCGTGAGCGAGGTGATTTTACGCAGAACCTTTTTGGACAGACGGGCCTGTATGGAATCCACGTACAAACTGAATTACGAAAAGGAGCAAGAGGTAATAAAAACTGTATTTTATTATATAGAATATACGGTTTTTTTACCCGAAAATTGAAAAAGGTTTAGTTTAGGTTATTATTTGTATAATTTTGAATTTAAAAATTGATTGATATTTTTAGTTAGTCCTTTCATTACATTTTTTTAAATTGCTGTATTATATATTAATTTTAACTGATCAAGGTTATTCATTCGAATATTACCAAATAATGTCGTTGTTTCAGGAGCAACTGATGTTGAGTATTCTGCCCAGGCACATCGCGACGCAGGTCAAGGATGACATTCGCAGCATATTCCAGCAGCTGCAGACCTACCGAAACACGCCTCTGAGGAAAAAACCCTTCAAGTAAGATTGAAATTCACAACTCGCGTCTGAAATTAATTAAATAAACACCGTCGGGAAAAAAAACTATTTCAACACCCTCATTTAGTAACAAATAATATGCGCCGCGCCAAAAGTGCGCGCGACGCGAATGATTAATTTTTGCGGCGGCCTCATTGATCCCTTTGGACGCACCTGCTAGCGGATTTTTTTATTAATTGGCTTTTTATTCAAATCATAATTTTTTCCTGCAGTCAGCTGTACGTGCAGAAACACGAGAACGTGAGCATTTTGTACGCGGACGTGGTCGAGTTCGCCAAACTGACGGTCACCCTTCCGGTCAACAAGTTGGTCGAGACGCTGAACGAACTGTTTGGCCGCTTCGACGAAGCATCCGAGGTACTCAAAACCCAAATCCCTTCTCGGTCCCAGAGGTGAACACGTGCATTTTCTCTGTCCTAGGAGCATAACGTGCTGAGAATTAAGTTCCTAGGGGATTGCTACTATTGTGTGGCGGGAGTGCCTACCCCTAATCCCCAACACGCCAAGAGCTGTGTCGAGCTCGGCCTCGACATGATCGCCATCATCAGAGAAGTCAGGTCGGTTTAAACTCTTTTTCGCTCGTTGAGTTTTTTTATATTAAGACGAAACTCAAACAAAAAATGCAGAGAGGAGCGAAGACTTAACATCGACATGCGAATCGGCATCCACACCGGCAACATCCTGAGCGGCCTCTTGGGCGTTTGCAAGTGGCAGTTCGACGTCTGGTCCAAGGACGTCATGATTGCCAATCGAATGGAGCAAACTGGCAAACCAGGGTAAGTTTTTTTTTCAATTTTGAAAGTATGATTTTTGATGAAAGTTTTATTTACATGAAAACCTAATAAGATTTTTTTTAATATTAAAGATTTTTAATTTGATTATTCCCTTCAAAGTGTTGAAAATAAACTCAATCATTTAGATTGTCCGTGGATAAAAAAGTTTTTTTTCTCAAAAATAGAAACTAAAAGTATAATTTTCTAATTTAAGATTTTAGGAGAATGACAATTACGAATTTGAAAATCGGCTTTGTTAAATGTCATATTTGTTGTTTTTATTTGTACAAATTGTTACATCAAATGTAAACAATGTGATGTAAAAATTTGGACAAATAAACAACAATATTAACATTAAAATATTGAAAAAGCTGATTTTCAAATCTATATAATTGTCTTTATTTTGTAGGGCAACATTTAATTTTTATGGATATGAAAAAGCTCTTATCTCCCTCTTTTTAATAGTGTATGATTCATGCCCAGACATTATTCATGCCATGTTTTTTTTTAAGAAATTTTAATTTCTGTTTACAACACGATTGCCTAAAAATTTTAATTAGATAACATCGCATTAATAATTTACCTTTTTATATTTTTCTGTATTTTTTTCTTTTTAAAACTAGGAAAGTTCACATTACGGAGCAAACCAGGCGACACTTGGGAAATGAGTACGAGTACGAGTCAGGCTTTGGAGATCAAAAAGATCCGCTCTTAGCCAAGTACAACATCAAGACTCACTTGATCAGCCCGCCAGAAAGGGTATTCCTTGAGAGTTTATTATTTTTGTGCAAATCCTGCAATTAATTTTATTATCTATTTGCGTAGATTGTGGAGATGCACCAAGAACGCGTCTTCATCAGGCAGCAGCACCAGAGCAGAAGGTCGAGCTCGCTGATCAATAAAATGCACGATCAATACAAGGTGAGTAAATAAGCATTATTTGCTGCAATTGGTTGTTCTTTGCACTTCGAACGCAACAACAAACATTTTACGCAAAGGCCACCACTTTGGTCTTGTAGACTTTGTAATCATTTCGCCAGAAATAGCAATTTTCTCACAAATTTTCTGTTTGAAGATTCGAGCGTAATAATTCAGGCCAAGTTTAACATTTGTTGTAAAAGAGATTACGCTAGAGGAAGTTGGCGGAGGTTACGGAGTAATACATAATCCCAAGATTATCTTTAATCTAGATAATAAGTGTGATTAATTTTGCTATAAAAATAATTAATCGAGTCCAATGTACCTCTAACTAAGGAGCGATTATATTTTTGCGTTAAACGTCGAGTTTCTCACCAGAATAGCGACGATGAGTAGATTCAACTTTACAACCCCATCATAATCTGCGTGCTATTTTATGACTTTGTGTTAGCTCTTGGCTTGATGCTTGTTAAGAGTTTATTAACTTGTGCCATAATCACTCAAAGTTGATTCTGCGGGCAATAAGGATGTTTATAGAGCCCTCAAGAATCAAATTCTTTTTCCTGGAAAAATTCTAAAAATAATTTTCCGTGCAGTCTGGAAGTCTTTTGGTCCCGCGGCCGTCGCATTCGCGCAGTCAGATGCGCCGCTCCACAGGCGGCAGCGACTACATCAACGGAAACTCGTCGCCCGTCCGTCGCAGAACGGTTTTTATGGACAGCAATTTGTATGTTTACCAGCAAATGCTGAAGAGAACAGACGCCCACATGGCCGACGCCATCGATAAAATGCCACTGCGGAAAGTAGAGTAAGACAAAAACCTTTTAACATTTTTGTTATAAATTTTATTGCTATTTGTAATGTGCTCCAGTGTAACAAAAATCGAATTTAAAAAAAAAATCAATTTAATATAATTTGTTTCGAAAAAAAGACAAAGAATAATAAATCAAATGTTAATTCATGAAACTAAGCAAGCAAAAGCAATTGATTTAATAATCAATTTAAATTCAAACAGAATGTAAATATAATTCTATTTTAAACTTAAAGAAATGTTGATACCTTCAAAATATGCTAGACTCTTTGTTGGAATTCCAAATAAGCAATCCTCGTTGTTGCCATTTGCCCTGATTTTGCAGTTTAAAAAGAATAAGAAAATTTTATTTTTTATGTGACATTTTGACTATGTGAGAAATGTTCAAATTCGAAAACTTAGTAATATTACATTCGTTTTTAAAGCAATGGCTTTTCTCACTTTCGAAAATTAAAAATTTAATGATTTTTTTTTAATTTTGAAACGAATTCAAATATACACAAGTTTACAAACAAAAACACGAGACATTACTAAAAAAGCTTTCTAATAGTGGAGAATTTAAAAATATTTAATACATTTTATTTATCAAATAATATCATTTTCTTTTTCAAATAATTTTCAGTCAGTGGTTCCGAGCAGAAAAAATCCACCCGCTCCTCCTGAAATTTGAAAACTTCCGATGGGAACTGCCATTTTTAAAACAGGCTGACCCTCTGTTCAAATTTTACCTGAGCTGCTCTCTATTCCTCCTGCTATGCATGCTTGGACTCCAAGCTCTCGCCTTTCCCAGGTACGCATTTCGAAAGCTATGCAACTTGCATGACGCGCCTGTCGAGCTGGTTGCGAATCAGCTCAAATTTTGGGAAATGAATTGTTTAAATTTTTCTTTCGTTAGCGCACCCTTGCTGTCATGGATAGCGTTTCTCATTGGAAGCGGCTTCTTGCTAATTCTCGCGCCGTCCTCTTGGGCGTGCTACATTTGGCACCGGTACCGCGACCCGCACAACGAGCTGGACAGAACCCCACCACCTGAAAACGGTGTCGCCCTGGCGTTGTACCAGTTGGCGCAAAAAATGGCGCAGAGTGTCTCTCTCAGGAGCTCTTTGTACCTGATGGTCACCCTGACCCTCGCAGTATGCGCCTTATCCAACACTCTGGTAAATTAATAATAAAATTAAATTTTACATTTTTATTTTAATGCATTGCAAATAGGTAACTTGTGAAGATGTCCAGGATGAAACTAATTCAAATTTGACAGATTCAAAAAAATATCCGCAGTTAAGAGGCAATTGTGAGATTCCATGGGTAAGAATTTTTCAAATTTGTTCAAGAAATTAAGTAATTAAAAAAAAAAATCCTCTTTAATTAAAGAAAACATATAAATCTATAAAAAAAATTAGAACTTTCAAAATTGATTAAGACTAAATATATTTTTTATAATGATTTACACAATTGTTGGAAAATTGTTTTTCACAATAATTGTCGACACCTTTCAAGCCAAAGCACAGGTCGGTTGGCAAGGGGTCGTGGATTTATTTGCAAAAAATCAGGTGGAAAGTACACAAAATTTGACGGATTTTGGCGTGGAAAAAACTCGGAAAAGTCAAAAGCTTTCCCGGAAAAACGCTACTGTAGTTTCAACTTAAAAATGGAATATCTCGGGTTCTAATTGAGATACAGAAATGCGGCTAGCACCAAAAATTTTCTTTTTACCTCCTCTTCAATCCTGAGGGGTCAAATAATCCAGAGGCCAAAGGTCAAGGTCATTTTTCAGGGGTCACACGTACAAAAAAAATTCTAGCAAAAATATGCCACCTTCGATTGGGCTGAAATTTTTTTCTAAGATAGTCCTAACATGTAGGAACAACATATTAAAAATTCAGAATGGCATATTTTTTAGATTTTTTATAAAAAAATCACAAAGGTAAAAAAATGTGAATTTTTCGCATTTTACTCATGATCAAAAATTTATTTTGAGAATTTTTGATATATTTTTTGAAAATTTATGAATTAATTGTCAAAAAATAAATAAATTTAACCATTTTAGATACGTACTTTCTCAAAATAAATTTTTGATCATGAGCAAAATGCGAAAAATTCACGTTTTTTTACCTTTGTGATTTTTTTATAAAAAATCTAAAAAATATGCCATTCTGAATTTTTTATATGTTGTTCCTACATGTTAGGACTATCTTGGAAAAAAATTTCAGCCCAATCGAAGGTGGCATATTATTGCTAGAATTTTTTTTGTACGTGTGACCCCTGAAAAATGACCTTGACCTTTGACCTCTGGATTATTCGACCCCCTCAGGATTGAAGAGGAGGTAAAAAGAAAATTTTTGGTGCTAGCCGCATTTCTGTATCTCAAATAGAACCCGAGATATTCCATTTTTAAGTTGAAACTACAGTAGCGTTTTTCCGGGAAAGCTTTTGACTTTTCCGAGTTTTTTCCACGCCAAAATCCGTCAAATTTTGTGTACTTTCCACCTGATTTTTTGCAAATAAATCCACGACCCCTTGCCAACCGACCTGTGCTTTGGCTTGAAAGGTGTCTGTCTAAGTTTCATAAAAAAAAAAAAATGATTTCCGCCACTTTGGAAGTTACAAAAGAATCGGAATCTGAATCAGAATATTGATTTTCAGTGCCTGTCGAAGTTTACATTGGTATCTTCTTTAAATTGCAGCATGTCACACAAGCCTGCAGTTTGGCGCTTTTGTGCGCCCTCGTATTTCTGAGAACCCACTTTTTACTGAAGCTGCTGACCAACCTAGCCCTGTTGTCTTTTTACTCTTGGTATGTGTGGACAGCAAATGCTGAACTTTATATGGTAACACATAAAATACATAATTCAATCAAGGTTTGTGATATTAAACAACTTTAGGATGGCGCAAGCACAAATCCCAATCTTGACCCGCGCTGGTCGCACATCATGATGGTCTCCTTTCTGGCCTTCTGCGTGCACTTTGTGGACCGACAGGCCGACTACATGAACCGGCTGGACTTCTGTTGGAAAAGACAGCTTCTGGAGGAGCAAGACGAGGCCAGCACGACCAGAACAGTCAACAAAATGTTGCTGAGAAACATTCTACCTAATCATGTTGGTCAGTAATTTTATTTAAAAATTTATAAAAAAATTAGCCACTAATTTTTTTTGCACACTAACAATTATAATTGTAAATGAGGAAAATAGTTACATTTTACTTTGCTTTTAAATTTAAAAAAAAAATTTTGCTGTAACAAAATCTGCACAAATGTTCTTTCAAATTCGTTTTATTTAAATAATTATGAATAATATAAAATAACGAATACATAATTCCGCTAAAAATATGTTGCAATTTTTGTAACCTTTTTACGCTTCAAATTTTGTTAATTAATATTGTTGTTGATTTTTCTTCACAAATCAAGTCAAGTAAGAGCAAAATCACGAATTTTTCTAATTAAATACAAATTTTAATTAAAAATTTTCAACCAAATAATATTTTGATTGTATTTTATCCTCTAGAAATGGATTAAATCGGTAATTTTCTCTTCAATTAATTTTTAGAAATATTTTAGAATGATTGGTTTCTACCACCAACATCTAGAAGCGCCGTAGGTTATTATTATAGTGATCATAAACACTCTCTAATTAAATTGTTCAATTGTAAAAATTAACAATTAGTTGCTATCTGTACGCTTGCAATAATTAATGTTGGCACTACTAAAAACGTTTAGCTGAAGTGTACTTGGACATGAACCGGCCGCACGATGAGCTGTTCCACGAGGAGTACGAGTACGTGGCCGTCATGTTCGCGTCGCTCGCCGGATACTCTTTGCACGATGACGAAGCAGGCGCCGAGGAGGACGGACTGCAAGATGACGGCATCGGAGGACTCAAACTCCTCAACGAGATCATCACCGACTTTGACAAAGTAATTTTTATTCCACAAACAAACAAAATGTGAAAATATTTATAATTTTTTTAAAAAAAAAATTGCAGCTCCTTTTTGATAGCGAATTTCATCGTGTTGAGAAAATTAAAGTCGCCGGCTACACGTACATGGCAGCGTGTGGTTTGGAGCCGGGTCGAAGGGACTCGGCGGCCTCGTACGCCTCCTCGAGATCATCTAATTGCTCGGTCCAGCAGACCTTGGACCACACGGTCGTCCTCACTAAGTTCGCTGCCAGAATGATGGCTGTTCTCAAAGCTCTTAATAAAGACGCGTTTCAAACGTTTAATCTCAGAGTTGGTGAGTCATAAGAATTTTGGATGAGATTAAATCTAATTTAGGATCTATTTTTCATATCAAAATTATTTTGAACTACAATTTTGAACCTGGTTAAATTTGTTGATAAATCTCTTGGAAATAATGACAATAAAATATACTTTGAATGTTTAACATTTCAGCATTTGTTAAAATATTTTATCTTGCTATTTTAAGGCATTTGTCACGGAAAAGTAATGGCTGGGGTCGTTGGAGAAAAAAAGCCTCTATACGACATTTGGGGCGACACGGTGAACATGGCGTCGCGAATGGACTCGACTGGATTGCCTGGAAGAATTCAGGCAAGTCTAATTTTTACTTCCAATTAATCGTTTTTGGAACTAATAACATTTTAATTAGATTCTAGAGCAAACTGCGACTTTGTTGGAGTCTCAAGGCGTCAAGTGCGAGGCGCGGGGAATGACTTATGTGAAGGGCAAGGGTGATGTGCAAACGTACTTTGTGTCGGTGGGCTCAGATCTCCATTTAATTCCGAAAGAAATTGCGCCTCGTAAAAATGATGAACTCGGTATGGACGACAGTGATTTCGAAGAGACAAGTCTGTGATTGTAAATGAAAAGCCGTGAGAAAAATTGCATTTATTTTGGAGTAATATTTTGAAGCACATGCAGTGATAATAATTTCTTAATAAATTAACTTAATAACAAAAACGTGTAATTATTATAATGATATTCAAATGTAAAAGATTACTTTTCGCTAATACTTGCAACAAGAAACGTAACTTTTAACCTCAAATTTTATTCAAATCTTAATGAAATTACATATTTGGCGAAATTGATTATTTTTTTTAAAACCGACCTATGTCATGATACGGTGTTTAAAAGTTATTAATATTGTATTTCATAAATTTTCGCATAACAAGGAACTTTGATAAGTTCTTTATTTTAAATTATGAATAAAATCATTATATTCATCCCACTTACAGGGGTGGATTTCTAGAAAAATTTTGAAGACCGTTTCTCGGACACGTCAAGGAAACCCTACTGATGTTTTCATTTGTTTATTGGTTTTTGAACTTTTCGTGTACTCCTTGCTTGCTAAAAGATAAATTATTAATTAATCAGATTAGAACGAAGTCTGCCATTGTGGCTGCCTTCTGGTTATCATTGTGTCATTGGCCCATTCAACGATGTAGGGAGCAAAGTTCAGCATCACAATCAAATACGTCGCGATCGCCCCAAAAAGCTAATGAATAATGCTATTTTCAGTAAATTAATTAACAAAACAATTTCAAACGTTACCCCTGCGATCAATGTGTTGTTGATTAAGCAAAATCCAGACGCGGATATTTTGATTGGACGAGCAGCTATTTGTGTAATGAACAATTTCAACTAGAAATTAAATAATTAACAAAAAAAATCTTCTTAGGAGATTATCATACCTGATACTTGAGACTCAAAGACTTTCCCTCGAGTTCAAAAGCGTTCAGTGCGTCTAGAAGACCTTCCATCTATTTGATTGATTTATTTCATTTTTATACAATAGGAAATTTAGTTTACCTTTCTCTCGAGTCGGTCGATGTAGAAAATCACTCCGCACGCAGCGATGAAGAAGTAAACCGACAAGGTGAGGAGTAAAATATTCTGCGAGCTGGTGAAGACGAAGAATATGAAGAGCTGCAGGATCGTGTCCAAAATGAAGAAGAGGATGTTGAACGCCAACTGCATGCCGTAGCACTTTTGCAAGATGCCCAAAATGTTCATCATGGCCGCGTATTGCAGGCGCAGGTTTTCCAACCGCTTCACGCTTTCCGGCGAGTCGTCGCTTTCGCGGATTTTGGCCAAACCTAGCACGAGCTGATCGAACCTCGGACGAAGGTGGGCGCAAATACAAATGAACATGCTCATCGGCAACTCTTTCCAAAGGTTGATCAACACGTAGCTCGCGCAGGCTACCCAGGTGGAACCCTATTATCATTTTCATATTATCTAAGCTCGTCAAAAATAAAATCCTCTATATTATAAGTAGAAAATTGGAAAGCTCTCTTCTTATATCAAAACAATTTAATTATTTTAAAAACGTTTTTCATGGATTAATTTTGTATAGTTAAAATATATATTTGTAAATTGAAAGTTTGGTATTCTTGAGAACTGGTAATTATTTTGTTAGTTTTCATAGCAAAAAATTGTAATGTCGTTGAAAAATTGATTAAGAAAATAATTTTTTTTCAAACTTTATTTTAAATTTTTAAACTAACTGTGTGTATTTTATAAATAATTAACAATATATAATCTTAGGGGAATTTGAATCCCCCGCTCATTCATTCAAAGGGGAAATCAATTTTTTTTACTGCTAAAAGATCCACTTAAGAAGGGAAAAAATAATACTTACGTGGAACTGTATGAAGAACGAGTAAGATGCAGCAGTCAAAATTATGAGGAAAAATACTGTCCTTAAGATTGGTATTAACTGCAGCCTAAAGACGTATCTTCTCGATTCTAGAATTTCAGTCCCAATTCCTTGGTAATAATCCTCGAGGGCCGTCAAAAGTTGTGGGTATTTGTGAGCGTAGTAGTGACACAAGACGAACTGACAGAAATTTCTCGACCCGGCGGCCAAAGCCGTGAAGTAAAGCCACACAACCAAATAAAATTTATCATCCTGGCCCTTTACCTCCTGTAAAAATTCATTATATTATTAGAAGACAAAATTAGTTTCTATAAAGGTGGTTGTAGTAATTGTTGTGGAACCTCTTGGCACTTGAGGGGTTCATTTTTTTATGAAATCAAGTCCGGTTTCCTCGTTGAAGACTCAGTTTCGTTTCGTCTTCTGACGAGAAAATTAGTGATTATTGTGACCCACAAAGTAAACTAGTGGAACAGAAATTTCTGATATCATGCAGAAACATTACAATTGCTCATCTTCACCGAGGAAGACAGATTTTATTTCATCAAAAAATTATATTCGAATAAAAATTTCTCTGTGAGACTAAAAAGGGTTGATGGAATTTTTTCTTGTGCTAGTAAATATAATTTGAAATTTAAAACAAAAATTTTTCTCTCAAAAATACCTGAACAAGGCAATATGAAGTGTAGCTGAAGAAAGTTCCAATAAGTAGACAAACGATTATGTCGTAGAGGAAAATTGCACTGCACCAACGGTGCTTCAGTTCGCGACCATCACTGGCCTGGATGTTTTGCAAAGGAAAAGTGGCCATCGCTTTGCAAATGAAAACGAACGGTCTTATCCTGGTGTAAAAAGGACCACTTTGAAAACGGTTCAAAGTCATCGGACCACATCGAAGCGTCTCTTGCCCTCTCTCAGAGGCCGGCTTTGGGGTCTCTGGAGGAGAAGGAGGTGTTTCGGTGGTCGCGTCCATCGCTCGAGTGAACCAATATTATGATGGCCCCGAATTATAGTGTTGGTTTATCTGGCACTCGTGAATTTGGAGATCGAAAGACATTCACTTAGGGCGCTGATGCGAATTTTGTGTTTTCCAAGGGCGTTATCTAAAAGTGCAGTACAATAGGGGTGATGGAAAGATACAGCTAATATTAGTACAAGTGGACGAGAAAATGTTGATTTAGTGCCTGTTTGCTGCTTGATGAGTTTGAAATTAATTTATTTTATGGTCTTTTAATATTAGACATTGTCTCTGGTAGCCCTAAAAAGAGCCTGGTCAATGGCAGGTTTAGTTTTATCGATATAAATAATTTGCTTCCTCTTGTGGTGACGTCTCGGAAAGTTGAGAATACTTTAATTAGAAGCAATAAAAAATCTCCCAGATCAAATACAAGAACAAGAGCAAAACTCCAAAATTTATAAAGGTTCAGCCTGAATAAGCAGTGCAAAATAGGTTTATTTTATGCAACCCGCGTGACAGGAGTGCCAAGAAGATTGCCTATCTTTAATAATCGCAGGCGCTTTCACACTATTCGATAACGAAGTGCAATCGTTGAAGATTTTATTGAGAAATAAAGAGGTGGGAATGAAAAACTGGGCTACCGGATCGATTATCAAGAATACAATGAGAGAAACAAAAACATATGATTTTGATGAGCGTTTTTCTGAATAAATATTTATAAATAAGACTAATTGTAAGTATAAAAAATATAAAAATAGTAATTCATAATAATTTTCTTAAATTTACTAGGCGGACTAATGTCTGTCTTCTTTAATCTGATAAGTCATGCTTTTATTTGGATTATTGTTTGGTTTTCCAATTAGATTAAAAAAATGTTTAATTTTGCAGTAATTCAGAATTTATTCCACATTATTCAAAATTAGAAAATGTAATGCTTTTTCATCATTCAGGAATAATGTATGAAAATATTTTCATACATTATTCAGCAATATTACTGAAATATTATAAGCAGTTTTATTCCCTCACTGCTTTATATTTTCATTTTAATTAAAGGAATTAGAACTGAAATAATGCCAATATTATTTGCAAATAAAAATAAAAATTTATTATTGACAAACAAAAAACTTGTTGCATTCACTCAGTGATATAGGCAAATCAAGTCTTTACAACAAAGGTTTGTTAAATTTACAATAATTGCCAAAAATTGCTTCTGTTGTTGTAAAGACTTGATTTAATTATATCAATAAAGAGTCCTTAAAACCTTGCAATCACACAACAATTTAGCGGCATAACCATAACAAACTATAATGCACCGTTTTCATCAGTGCGCACCCCTAGCGCATTCATTGTCAAGCTTATACCTGTGTTTCGACAAATGGACAAAGGTGCCGTGAAATAAATATTGGGGGACATTCATTAGCTCTCTCGGGATAAAAGACATCCCGGGATAAATCCAAAGGGATAATATTTAAACCACTGTCCCAGGTTAAATATTTTTTATCCCGCTGCGTGCGGGCTGCGTGCGAGCTTTTGCACCGATCCACTTGTTTCCACAGAGGAGTGGAGATTATATGCCATCTGCATCTACTATTATTATTATTTTTTTTTAATTTTGGATTAAATTTAAAACCATAAAATATTCAACTTGGAAAATTTTATAGAAGAAAATTCTCGATGGTCCCCTGAGGTTCTTCTTTAGGGAAATGCCATTACCTGGTAAGTTATGATTTATGATGAATCATAGAATCAAAAAGCAAAATCTGACTGGCGTATTTGAATATTTGCAGTGAGGATCACGTCAAAAATTATTCTTGGTAGATATTTAAAATCCACACAAACCCTCGGCTCAAATAATATTTGCACCACTTGTTATCATCATTACCTGGGATTGGTCTCGCGCTTGTTATCTTATTGTTAGCGCCAGCTCTACAATTTTATTATTATTGTGTTTGAACTTGAATCTGCATAGGCCCTGTGGCGTCCCCACTGCTCTACAGATTCGCGTTCGCCACTTTCTCTACCTTTGTCGTTGCTGCGAGATCGTCAGGTGTTGTAGGTCGCGGTCCGCCAAAGGAAGGTTGCGCTGCTCAGGTCCGTCCCTCAGGTACGTCTACTTGGCCTTGATCATATCGAGACACCCTGAATGAAACAAAACACCGCTTTCATTTCTTTTTTAATTTTATTTTTTTTATTTTTTACTGATCAAATCTTAAATTTTGTACCTGAATCCATAAACTAAATTTTCTCGTGAAATTATATTTAATTTTTAATACAAATTGTAAATTAATTTAACTTGCAATGGTTCAAAAGTTAATTTTTTTGAAATACGTTTTTTTTTCACAAAATTCAAATCAAATTTAAAAAAAAAATGTTATTCACCAGTAAAATTTTCATTAAATTTTTGTATTACGAATTCATTTTACTTCAAGGAAGCTCAGTATCTAACAAAAATTGTACTTCCCCTACCAATTTAAATGTAATTGAATATAATTTGAGTATAATTTGATATGTGAAATTTGATTCAGTCACAAGCTGTACGTATGTTTGCATTGTCAATTACTTCTCTATTATGTCACTATGTCAACCTGCACATGGCCTTGGCGCCCTTGGCCTTTTGTAAAACAAAATCTGCTCGCAACTATAATACAGCTGATAATTCTGCTCACGCACGTCAAACTAGCGATAACGCACTATGTTTATGCATTTTGATATAGACTCTCTTTTTTTTATTTTTTTTTTATGTGTAGCTAGAGCTGTTCAGCTTTTCATTCTTCTTGCAATCAAATCTCCCTATAATTTGCGTTGGTAGAAATTCAGAAAATTAAAATCTCATCAGGCCAAGCCGAGCTACGCATGAGTGCTGTTGTGGCGGAACCAGATATATTCTGCGTTTCCCTCCGACTTTAAATGTATTCACGGTTTTACAACTAAAAAAAAAGAATGTCTCCAGACAAGATTTAAAATAATAATTATTATTTTTGCTATTTATTGTCCAGGTTGTTCGAAAAATTTTAGATTGAGAGAAAAACAATTTTTGGATGGGAAATATTGAAATGTTGGACTAAACAGCACTTTAAAAATATAAAAACCGACCAAAACAGGCGTGTTGTGCCATCAGCGGCTGCATGACTGGAGCAATATCTTCCAGAATGCTTTTAACAAGCGAAAAAATTGACAAATAAAAATCTGATGCTTAATTGTTGTTTTAAAAGCTAATTACTAGACTGAACTTTATGTTCACTGGATCAGTGCATAGTAAAAATAATATTAAAATTTAATAATTGTATGAAATTAGTTTAAAAAATAAATTGAAATTTTATGTTGATCAGTAAAACAATTTATATATTTTTTTAAAATTCTTTTGAACTTTGGAGAACAAAGGTAGAGCACGCTTTTTAATTTTCCTGGTATATCTTTTAATTGAGCTAAATAATTAATATCATGGAAGCAGTTTTTTTTATAAAAAATATGAACCATATTTTAGTTAAAATATAGTTTATTAAATACTAAATGCCAATTAACATTTTTGAAACAATATTTATTTTAAACCATATATTTTCAACTTCTGATTTGATTCTTTTTCTACCTCTTTTTAAGCGAAAAATTAATTTTCGGTAGCGTTTCACCCTCAATATGTCATCCCAAGCACCACCGATTGTCGACGACGAAGAATGCAGGCCGCAAATCTCGTTTTTCCAATGGCCCGACTACGTGGTGTTGGCCCTGATGCTGCTCGTGTCGGCGGCCATCGGCATCTTCTTCGGCATCCAGGCCCGTCGACAAAAGGCCAGCACCGACGACATCCTCGTCGGCGGCAGACAGATGGCCACTTTTCCCATGGCCATGTCTCTTCTCGCCAGGTATTTACAATTGGATTGTTATCCGACTTCAAATTTTTATCACCAACAATTCGTTTATAAACCATTATTGGTGGTAATAATTGAATTGCCGTCTTGACGCATTTCACTCTTTATCTGCCTTTTATTTTTATTGATCGCAAACAAACAATCTTTTTCGGCGAAAAATTCCTGGTTTGTTTTACAAAGATTAATAAGACGCAGCTTCTTTCTATTTAACGCGTAGTTATAAAATAATATTGTGACCCTGCTAGGCGTCATTTGACAATAAAAAGTGGCGTTAAAAGGAAAATAATCCGATCCATCATATTTTTACACTGCAATCTCGTATGAAATTAATTTAAGGCTTAGATAAAAGGTCATGAGGTACACATGTTGTTTAATTCCACCAAAGTAAAAATCGCTATTATTACATAGATTAAAACATTGAAGTGTATTAATAGAAATTTTAAGATGCAGAAAATATTAATTTGTTTTAATAAATTTCATTAACTTGGTGATTCAATACTTTTGCAACACCTTCAGTTTTCAATGCAATACAATTTTTTATTATTTACAAATAAATACTTAATTTTATTTTTATTAATTAATTGAATATATTGATCTTATGGCAAATCAAATTTAAAAATTAATATTTCTTAAATTTATTATTATTTTTTATATAATTTTAATTTTTTAGTTTTGAACGTTAAAGTAAAACATAATTTCTTCTTTTTGCTATATTCTGTTTCTTGAAGTAGTGGTCAGTTTTATGTCTGCAGTAACACTTTTGGGCAACCCTGCCGAAATGTACAACTACGGAACGCAGTTTGTGGTGATCGGTGTCGGCTACATCATGGTTAGCCCAGTCACCGCCTACGTTTTCATGCCCGTGTATCACAGACTTGCCCTCACATCAGCCTACGAGGTCCAAAATAATATTTTCTCCAAATTTTTGTACTAATTCTGCAAATTGACAGTACTTGGAAATGAGGTTCAACAAGTGGGTGCGACTGATCGGCTGCGTTATTTTCACACTTCACATGGTCTATTGAAAAAATTTGGAATAAAAAAGTTTAATAATGTTAATTACTTATTCAATAATTTAGATCACGTACCTTCCGATCGTCGTATACGCGCCAGCCCTGGCCTTGAACCAGGTCACTGGTCTTGACACCTATGCCGCGGTCAGCATCATCTTTGCCGTCTGCATTTTCTACACGTCTGTTGTAAGTGCCAGAAACCAAAAAATATAACTATCTTGTCAACAAAATTGACTTGCATTGAATTTTAAAATAAGAAATTTTAAATTGAATATTAATATTTTATATCAACAATGCTATAAAATTAAATCCTAAACAATTGCACTCTTTCTTATTAAAATAAAATATGTTCGCCTCTCATTTTAAATTAATTTACCTACAAATTTGATATTACAAACTTCATAATTATTTAGGTCTACGTTTGTAATTTTGATTTGCCTGCGTCTGAAATTTGAATTTCCTCAGGGTGGCATCAAAGCCGTGATATGGACAGACACCTTTCAGGTGTTGATGATGTTCGCCGGCATGATGGCCGTTGTCTTCAAAGGCACCGTCGACGTCGGCGGCGCCGACTTTGTCTGGCAAAAGACGGTGGAGTCTGGCCGAGCCGAGTTTTTCAAGTACACTTTCTTTTCATTCTAGTGGGGTTCCATTGAATAAGTTTGCAATATTTAAACGCAGCATGAACACTGACCCCCGCGAGAGACATTCTTTCTGGACCATGACAGTCGGCGGCTCTTTCCTGTGGATCGCTACTTACGCAGCCAGTCAGGCGCAGATCCAGCGCTTCTTGACTGTCCCCACCGAAAAGCAAGCAGTCAGGTTAGTCATTTTTTTTTTAATTATATAATTATTGTATAAAATTCATGATTGACAAATTAAAACTTGTTTAGCAGAATTGAAAAGCGTGAGTTTTCCTTGTGATGAAGTAAGTTTTTTTTTAAATTTGGACCATAAAATCGTTTTTTCTTTCTGAAAATTAAAAACATGGAAAAGGTAGCTAAAGATTTTAAATGCGAAATATATCAAATTTTGTGATTACAAAAATTGCCAGAATTGTTTTAAAGAGACTGAGTAAATTTTTTATTAATTTGCAGAGCAATTTGGATCAACTGTATTGGCCTAGTCGCCCTTCTGCTGGTCTGTTGTTGGGGTGGCCTCGTCATGTACGCCAACTATTTTGATTGCGACCCTCTGATTTCAGGAGTATTTATTTTATATTAATTTTTGAAAATGTCAAATTTTATAATTTCTTGAATTTTTACAGAAAGTGAAAGCATCTGACCAACTTTTGCCTCTTTTTGTTATGGACACGATGGGCAGTTTGCCTGGAATGCCTGGCTTATTCACGGCTGGAATATTCAGCGGCTCGCTCAGGTGGATTTGAAAAACATATCAATTTTTAATATTAAACAACAACAAAAATATAGCACTGTTTCGACCGGTCTTTCTTCTTTGGCTGCAATCACCTTAAAGGATTTTCTCATCGGAGCCTTCAAGATGGAACTCAAAGACTCGCGACAAGCCAGTTTGGCCAAATGGATCAGTTTGATTTATGGAATCATCTGTTTTGGAATCGTATTTCTTGTTGCCCAAATCGGCGGAGTTTTGCAAGTATAAATGTGAAAATTAAGTCAGACGAAAAGATTAAAATTAAATTTTTAGGCTGCCTTGAGCGTTAACGGAATGGTCGGTGGACCGATTCTTGGACTTTTCAGCCTTGGAATTTTGATACCCTGGGTCAACTGGAAGGTATTTTTTTTTATTAAATGAACTTTCATGATTTTATGCAGCAAAAACGGAAAGAAAAAACACTGACCATGTCAAAAAAACGTTGATTATATTTTTTAATAAATTTATTTTTCCTCGGAAAGGGCGCTTTTTCTGGTGGAATTGTGGGTTTGGTCTTCGTCGGGTGGATGGGCTTTGGCGCCCAAGTCGAAGCAGCCTTGGGCAACCTCAGCTATCCGAAAAAGCTATTATCCGTCGCCGGCTGCAATTGCACCACTGGGGTGCTGCCCGCACCTCCTCTACCAGGGTAGAATATTTCAATATATATATGAACCTTAAAATATTTATATAAAAATGTAGCTCTTATCCGGACATTTTTCCGCTGTACGCGGTTTCCTACATGTGGTACGCTCCGATAGGGTGGTGCATCACCACGCTAATCGGCATCGCGGTCAGTTGGATGACCAAGTTCAACGACCCCAGGGAGATGGACAAGAGGTTGTTTTCACCAGTACTGATCGCGATCATGGACAAACTGCCCCTCAGCTGGCAAGAAAAAGTCAACTGGCCACTCAAACCCGCCAAAAAGGAGGTAAAGAAAAAAAACATATTTTATATTGATAATTTTTAAAAGTAGATTAATTTTTTTTAACAAATCAAATATTAAAATATTTCCAAATATTTGGGCATTGAAAAAATGTCCTGCTAAACGAATTAAAAATGCCTGCCCTAAACAATTTTTAATGCTTTTATACTCCTTGTTTTGACTAGGGATGTGAGAACAGTGGATTTGAATTCGAGGCTGAAAATGAAAAAGTACAAAAATCAGAAGACGAGAACACCCATAAATTCTAAGGTTTTGATAAAATGAACTCAATTAATTTACGTTAATAACATTGATAAGCCTTTGAAAATTAAACAACGACAAAAATACAATTTTGTTTTTTATTTAATTATTTTGATATACAAATGAATGAATAAGTACAGATATTAATATATTGGCTACGTGCTTTTCATCTAGTTCTGGATAACGTAGACGTGACTATTTCCGGAAACTTCTGTTGTATCCGATGATGTAGTGTTTGTTGTATTCATCACGTGAGGCGCAAACTGCAGCAACACTATGAGATAAGTGGCGATCACTCCGAAAAGCTGAAAAAGCTTACTTTTAATTAAAATCCCTATCAATTAATAAAAAGTACTCACAGACCCGATCAAAGAATTGTTAATCACGCAAAACCCTGACGCCGAAATTTGCAACGGTCGCGCTTGAATCTGTGATACAAACAGCTGCACCTATAAAGACCAATTGAATTTGGTTATGCAACCCGCGCGACAGACATGTCGAGCAGATGGCCTATCGCTAATTGTGGCAGGCGCTCTCTTGAGAAGATAAAGGAGGAACACTTACTTGCATCTGCTGCAGACGCGATTTCGAGTTGAGATTGATCGAAGAAAGCTCTTCCAGAACGTGCTCCGACTGAATTATTAATTTTTTATTCTTTGATCAATCCAATCGCCTTATGTCGTACCTTTCTTTCAATGCGGTCCAAGAAAAATATGAACAGTCCCGCCGCGCAGAAGTTGTAAACCGTCAGGTCCATCAGGTAAACGTTTTTCCCTTCGGAAATGACGATGAAAATAAAAAGCTCGGCTATCGATTCGACTATCAGGAAGAACATGTTCACGGCCAGTTGGAGCCCGTAGCATTTTTGCAGCAAGTTTATAATATTCATCAAAGCTGCGTATTGCAAACGGTGGCTCTCCAAATCACAACTTGCGTCTTTTTCGTCTTTCAAACGGACCTAATAATTAAATATGTTCTCTTAATATTTAATTTAACTAAATTAGGAGGATATTTACCTCTCTGACTTTTTCACGGATTTCGTCAAATCTGGATATGAGGTGCATTAAGATGCAGATGAACATGTTCATTGGCAGTTCTTTCCACATGTACATGAACATAAAACTGACTCCGGCAGGCCAAGCTTTTGAATCAATTTCAGTGAACTGGCTGAAGAACATGAACGACGTCACTTCCAAGAATAACAGCATAAACAGAGACGCGACGATAGGACCAACCTGAGTTAAAATATTAATTGAAATAGCTAATTCTCTGTGATCCTGGAAGTGTATTGTTGGTTGCCCTAATTTTGAAACTTCAACCAGAAAAAATCTTATGTTTTTAACTAATCAAAATTTGATACATTGATAAGTTGGTTTAAAAAATTAATTTTAAAAACCAGTTTTTCATCTTCTGTTGCGCGAATTACTTGTATAATTTCATTTTGTAAAATTATTTATGTATTTGGAGAAGGATAAAGGTACCTTTTGAAATGTAGCTTTAGTTCTGCCTCTAATGATGTTCGCGCCTATACCAAAGTGGTATTCTTCGATGGCTTGGAACAGCTCCGGGTACTTGTGGGCGTAAAAGTGGCTGACGAGAAAGGTGATCATCGCCCTGGCAGCTGACAAGTAAAAGGTGGCGCCCAGCCACACCATCAGCTTGTACTTATCATCGGGGTTAGTAATTTGACCTACAAGGTAGGCGTTGGCGTAAAAAAAGACCAGCATCACGGCCACGCAAAGCACCAAGTCGTACAGTTGCCAAAGATTGGTCCACCTTGTTCGATTTTAATTAAAAAAAAAAAATAGAATTGAGAAATGAAAAAAAAAATACTTATGAACCAGAAGTCGACCGTCGCGTTGCATCACATTAGTCAGCGGGAATGTTCCGAAAATTTTGATGAAAATTGCCAGAGGTCGAATTTTCGAGTAAAATGTTTCAGGTTTCAAACTTTCTATGGGGCACGTTTGGGAGGCCACGGTGGAGGTGACGATAATGGCCTCCGGGTCTGATCCGGCACCCTCTTGGGTAGTGGTTGCCTCATCCTCCTTGGTGGACGCCATTTGGGATCTGCCAGTGATTGATAAATTCGGTAGTCTTATATGCTCGCTAATTGCCAATTTATCAGTGCCATTTGTCCATGAGATCAACACCTTTTATCACTAGAGATTAGACAATTTTAAGAAGATATGTATTAAAATAGCTTAAATTTCTTTACAAAATGCTTATTTTAAAGAGAAAAGTTAATAAAAAAATGGCAATGTTGGTATGTTTTTAATTTGTTTTCAATACATTTTAAATTAGCAGAAGAAACGTTTTAAAATAGATAAATAGATTTTCAAAAAATTATTTCAAGGTGATGTAAAAAAAATGAAAAAGAAATTTTTGAATTTTCCTAAAACACCATTTTTTCTTTGAAAATAAAATGAAAAAAGTTTTCTTGAAATAACTTCCATGTAAAACGCAATTTAACAACGACAGATATAAAAATGTTTTTTTTTCTGCTTGAAAATATTATTCAAACATTTGAACTTGCACATCTTAAATCAATGAATTAAACGAATTAAAGTTATTTTAGGGTTGATCACGATAAAAGGAACTTAACTGTTTGTTCAAGTGTATCTGGGTTTTTTTAAATGTACTGCCATTGAGGTTCCGTCTAACCAACAATATCCGATCAATTTTGCAAAAGTAGGAGCAGTGTGAGAGCCTTAATATTTTAGTAGCTAAGTGTCTGCTATATTAAGCTATTTTTTTTGCACTACCTACTGACCTACTTGGAAAAGGTGTCAATGTTGTAATAAGAAGAGGATCAATTCATATAATCAAGGAAGTTATTTGAACAAAATAGCATAAAAGCAAACCGGAACAAACGAGAGAAAAATTTTAAAATAAAAATCGATAATTTTATAATTATTTTTATCTTTTAAAAATGTCACTCTTGAACACAAACGCAGCAATTCTGTAAATAGCGAATTTTTTAGATACAAATATAAAGCCTCAGCTTTTACAAGTGTTAACAAACACGAAAATCAGATTCCCACTCACGCACCCGGAACAAAATTTACATGAAAAAGTGCGAGCGAGAATGCGAGTCAGCGTGCTCGTCCCTAATATAAACTTTTGCCGCAGCATAACATTAATTCCATTCTCACTCTCTCCGGGCATGTTTTTATTATTTTTTTAAACGCCATGAATAAATAAAGGCGCGACTGTCCAGTTGGTTGCATGGCGAGCATGCTTGGGAATATTTTATTGACCAGCACATACATTAAGGGTAAACGGCCTGCGGTGGGGTGGGTCGATGATTGCGCGAGGTGGCGCTTTCTCATCATTAGCCACCCCGCGAGCATGCACTGGCCTTTTTTATGCCGGCGCTTTTCCGAGGACTCGACCACTCGCACGTTAGCCGCGCCAAGGGTCACTTCGGTTCGAGAAAACACGCTTGCGACGAATATTCAACACGCCACTTAGCTTGACAGTAAGAAAAAAGTTTGATTTTTTTTACACATGATGAATAGAAGCGTGCAATTAATTCCAGAAAATTTTCTTAATATTGCATGTGTAAGATCCTATTTGATTTCGAGAACTAGAAGAACTAAATATTTAAATTTTCTGAATTAACTTAAAAAAAGCTGGAGATTAGTGGAAAATTTTAGAATGTGACTGATACACTGCTATTTTAAAATTTTATTGTTACAAGATTTCTCATTAATCACTCTCCATTAATCTATTACTACAAATACATACATATATCAATCTATTGAAAAATTATCGCGATGTAAATGATTTGAAGTACTCAAAATTTTAATTAAGGAGTTAGGCTCATTTGAAATTTCATTTACAATCAAATAGAAATTGATTATAATCAAGAAAACCAAGCAAATGTGGGTCACTTTTGATTGACAGAACAGACAATGGATCTATCTACCAAAACTCACACCACCTTGACATAATTAAAGACCACCTACATAATGGTCATAATTATACCTCCCTTTCAATGCGTAGCCTTAACTTTTTTTTCAAATGAAGAAAGTATAAATTTTATGAAATAAAAATAAAATAATTTACTTGAATAAAATCGATCTAGATTCTATTCTCGGTCAACTTTGATGTGCGTATCAGCGAATGCGTCGCACACGTAAAGAAATTCCTCCTTTCCCTTTCAACGCTGATCGATCGAAATGTCAACAACTCAAGCAAATAAATTTTGTGTCGCAGTTTGACGATGGGTTGTGTGGAGAGCAGTCGCCGTGTGAAGGAGATCCGCGTCGTTCAGCAGGGCGCGAATAAACCCGACTTCAGGCGCGGCAGCAAAGGTATCCTCTCAGGGTGCCGACCTCCTCGCACACCCCTACCAAACATGGTTGACTCAGGGTTTGAAGACGAACTCACAGCAATTGCTACAATCGATCTTGGGGTAATGATGAATAACAATATTATGATTCTTATTTTTATAATTATTTTTTTAAAATACAAATTTTTAATTTAAAATCAATTTAATTGTGACTTTCAAACTAATAATTGTATTTCATTTGAAGTTTTTTTTTTCAAATATGATTAATAATTTTCCTTTCATTTTTAGGAATCCTTCGATTCAAGGCATTCATACGGAGGAGCGGTTCGACCCTCAGGGTTGTCTCCTGATTCAGGAATTTTCGAGCTCATTGGAAATGATTACTCTGGCGTTGTAACAGAATTTGACACTGTTCCAAGAATGGAAGACGAATTCAGACTGCCCAGAATCAATACAGGTAATGCCAATTCTGATAAAATTTAGTAATTAAAATAATTAAGAAGATACAAAATAATTTGAAGATTGTAAATTAAAATCCATTGAATTATTTGTTTAAGAACTTTTAAATGGAAGCGCGTGTCCCCCAAGGGTTAGTGCCCTGAGAAAGGAAGAGGCTGCCATTCTAAACCGCTTGCATCAGGAAGGCCTCATCACACGACCAAAGGCAACAACCTCAGGCGGCCTAAGGTAAGAGTCGCATGAATCGTTGTTTAAAAATTTGTGCGAATTTAATTTTTTTCAACTCATAACTTCCAAAGTATTTTATTATCAATTTATCTTGCATGTCGTGATTTTTAATGGCAGCTTCGTTAAAATTATTTTAGGATGTTAATTTCACAACAAAATGATATAATTAAAAAAAAATCTTTCATACAAAATGGACAAGTGCGGTATTATGTAGGAAAATAAATTGATTTTAACGTTAGTTTAAAAATGATTTTTTTAAACTATTTATGTCAGAACTTGCGTAATGGGCATAAAGTCGCACTGTTTTTATTTCTTCTGACCACCACCAAACTCCGATCAGAGTTCAGATAGCGTGCGTGTAATTTGTTTACCTCACTCAGAGACTGGCCTATTTCTGTCCAGTTGAAACAGACAGTCGGACGAGAATAGTTACAGATGAACACGATAGATTAAACTTGTATTATCATTTGCCACAATGGTTGAAACTACCATACGGTAACAAAAAAGACTACAGAATTTTTTAGGTTCTCGTGAATTGTATTAGAAAAATTTTTATTTTATAGCAAAACCCTGTTGCTTCGAGATGTAGAGAAAATAAAAGGGAGATACCAAATTTGATGTGATAAAATGCAATTTTAAGAAGAAAAAATGTAATTATAATTAAGCTTTCAAGTAAGATGCCAAATAAAATACTGGTGGAAATCCAGCAGTACATTTCATGATAGGTTTGACCTAATGTCCAAATGATGCAGCATAAAATCATTCAAGCCAGAAAATTTACGAGCGCGCCTAAATGCATGCAGCTCGTAGCTAGTTGGCCCAAATTGCCGCGCCGAGAGCAATGCACCGTGAAAACACACACACTGACCATACCTGTAAAGGGTCGATTATGCAAACGAGACGGCCAAGGCATTTGGGCCGAATATCCTCATTATCTGGCAGTCTATCGCGTGTCTGGCTCGAGAGGAGCAGGGGTGTTCGCCACCAATCTCCATCTCTTTAAGATGAATACCCCTGATTAAGTTACGGGGCGCTCCTTTTTGGTCAGTCAGAGCGGGCACGCGAGCACATGATTTGCGGTTATTATGCAAATTTATAACCAGGAAATAGAAAGGAAATTCCATTCGAAATTGATCTTTTTTTATACAATATTATTTTTTGCAATCAGTGAAAGTAAAATTTATTTCGGATTATTTAATTTTAAGCTTTATTGACAGGATCATTTCCAGATAAAAAAAAATACACATAATATGGTGAATAATTGTGTTTTTCAACATGTTTCAAATTGCTGTAATAAGCTTTCTCGCTAGAATAAAATTATGAATATTTTTATTTTGCTATTTTTCATCTACAAATTGAACTTATTCTACATACAAAGCAAATTAAATTTTTTTAATTGCAAAATCCGCATTCTTTTTCCTTCGTAGTAGATTTTCATTAAAATAATTGTGCAAACTTTATATTAATTAAGTACCAACAATATTTTTGTATGTTAAAAGAATTTGAAGGTTTTACTGTTTTTTTCTTTTCATTTAAATGATAGCAGAAAAAAACTGCATTGAAAAACCTGTGAGAATTCTGATAATTTTTTTATGCACGCCCTTATGTTCTTTCCCTCAGAAACTATAAAGACACGCATTTGTGTTGTAATGATTGCAGCTACGATTTGGTGACCAAGTGCGAGGACTCTATGAACTTAGGACCGGGGGCTCGTCTGCCGCCGATCAAACTGAAAAAGCTCGAGAAACGTCGCTCACGCCACCGGGTCAAAACTCCTTTGAACGAGGAACAGTTTTACAAAAAGCTCCAAAAGGCCGAGGAGCGCAGAAAAGTGAGTTTCATTCTTTTGTTTCAGAAAAAAATAAAATTGATTGCAACGGCGTGGAAAACACGCTAGTGTATAAATCCACCCACGGTCGACTTTTCACGGCGATAATCACGGAAATAATCAGCGCGTTGCATCGGCCGAGGGCCAATGGTCGCGTGATTGGCACACAATCGACTCTTATCGCCAAAATCTTGTCATTGGGGGTGGTTTTTGCTGCCCCGAATATGGATTTTTCACTGCCAGGGTTTGCACCCTGCTGACCTTTGCCAAGGTCTCGATAATTTGAGGCGCAAATTATTTCCTGAAATTTTGCTATCGATTGGCCTAGACATTATAATTCAATTAATTTACTTGATAACGTTCCATTTATTTCACATCTCATTGGAAAGCTATATTGAGATTTAATTCTGCAATAAATGTCATAGAACTGTTTCGTTTTTGCCCCAAAGCTTGGAAAACTTGAAAAAAAATGAGAGGCGCAACCACGAATCAGTCTCTCATAAACTCTTGTTTTTTCATTTCTTATTCACAGAGATTCTTAAGACACACGCGAAAAGGAAGGAATTCAACGAAAATGAGAGTTGATTGTAGTGTTTTTGTGAAAGGACTCGACTCAATACTCCTCACTTTGCATGTCTCTCTATTTGGTGAATGAATTTGGCATGAGCGGCACTTTTTGCTTCGTGTCTGCCGGGGCAATGACTTCCTTCGTCAGTCGCATTGTTCACCACCCTATTCATTTTGGACGGTCGCAGTCAAGGTTTTGTTGCTTGACAGAGACAAATCGTCTAGTTCATTCTTCAAAGGAAAATCGGCCTTGGCATTGCACCAACGCGGAAATTAACAAAAATAATTATTATTTGCTTGCAGGAGGTCGAAATGGAAAGAACGAGACGAATCAGCGAGCGAATTGCGTCGGCAAAGCCGCTAGGCCTGCAGAAGCTGGAAAACTTGGCCAAATTGCAGAAAAATATGGAGAAATTTGAGATCACGTTGGAGAACAGGGCAACCTATCTTCAGAACATGCGCGACCGACTAAAAGAGCACAACCAGAAGGCGGCGGGGGTTCGCATGAAGAAGGCCAGAACGCAGTTGGACTTCAACAGCACCCATGGCGGACTTGAGGACGTTTTAAGAGTCCACGGCGAATTTTAATTCTCAACAGCTTTTTAAGATTCAATAATCGATTCATTGAAAAACAGACGTAGAGAAAAAAATAATTTCAGTTTGGAAAAAGCTGAAATAAGAATTTAGATATTTTTCTATAAGCTTGCTATGCTAAGGATTAAAAAATAGATACTTCTAAAAACTGCGATCTTTTTAAACCCTCAAAAAATGTTTTTGCAGTTGAGGTGGTTTTATTACTGGTCATTTAAGCGTTTACCTTTTGACATTCATTTGTATATAATTCTTCATAAAAATAAACTCAACGTTGTGTATTACAGTCATCTTAAAACATGATTTTGATTTCATGCAACCACCACCTACAAAATTATGTTTCTTTTTTTAAATTCCCATGTTCATACATTATTTTACAACTGTGCTTTGGCACTCTAGTAAGAAATTAATTGCATTCTTATCTGCTATGGCACTAGTGCATCATATAAGTTGGAATGATTCTTAGAAAAGTCCTTCAATTTCCTCCGTCTCGACGTCAATGTCCATGTCGTAAATGCTTGGTCGTGTTGTTAGGCCAGGCATTCTTGAAATCTAGTTAAACACAAAATTAAGCTGTCGTCCTTTTTTTTAAAATTTCCTCTCTCTCTAACCTCTCCAGCAATGGCAACGTTGAATCCAGCCCCAGCTGAAATAATCAGGTCCCTGATTAAAATGGAGAAACCCTTGGGCGCTCCCTTGATGTTGGGGTCTCCAGTGAATGACAAGTGGGTCTTGGCCATGCACACGGGCAGTTTATCAAATCCCTGTTCGATGTACTTCTCGATGATTTGCTGCACCTTTGGGGACAACTCCACCTTGTCCGCACCGTAAATTTCAGTGGCAATCGTGTGCAACTTCTTCTCAATCGACATTTCATTAAGATAAAGAAGCCTGTGAAATTCGGTCATTTTTAGTACAAATTGATTTTTCTTTGTAACAAAATTACTTGAAATTGTTGGGCTGATCACAGGCTTTCATGACGGCATCTGCTAAATCAAGAGCTCCAGCTCCACCTTGGGCCCAGTGTTGACAGACGACGGCTGCAAAAGCTCCTGAATTCAAACTGGCACCCTTGACCAGAGCAATTTCATCGGCAGTGTCGGAGGCAAAGACATTGATGGCAACAACGACTGGCAGGTTGAACTTCTTACCGTTGTCAATGTGCTTATTCAAATTAGGGAGTCCCTTTGTGAGCAAATCAATATTTTCCTACGGAAAGAACAAAGTTAAAGTGAATTTTTCAATCAAATTAATTTCCATAAAATTATTTTACATCAAGATACTCCTTAGGCAGAGGAGTTCCAGGAGTAACAGCAGGGCCCCCTCCGTGCATTTTCAGAGCCCTGATTGACGTGACCAAAACAACACAGTCAGGGTTTAGTTTTGACGAACGGCTCTTGATGTTGCAGAACTTTTCGAGGCCTGGATTGTAATGGTTTAGTTTTGATTTTGAAGTAGTTGGAAAATGAATTCTACCGATATCAGACCCGAAACCAGCTTCAGTGATGACGTAGCCATCTTTACCAACGAGTTTGAGTCCAAGTTGGTCAGCAACGACTGAGGAGCAGCCATGGGCAATGTTGGCAAAAGGACCAGCATGAACAAGGACAGGTGAACCCTCCAATGTTTGCATAAGGTTAGGCTGGAGGGCTTCCTTCATCAGAATGGTCAAAGCACCGGTGGCTCCCTAAAAACATGTTAATTAAAATTATTTTTTGCAAGAGAAATATTCTCATAAAAAAACTAAAAAAAAAAAAATGCAAATGCGGTATTCAAAAAAAAAAAAATTCCTACCAAATCATCACAGGTAATCGGATTTCCCTTCTTGTTTAAAGCAACAACCATGCGTCCGAGGCGCTCCTTCATGTCCCCCAAGTCAGACGCAAGAGCAAGGACTGCCATAACTTCACTGGCCACAGATATGTTGAAGCAAGTTTTCCTGGTCATATTCTTTTCAGTCTCAGATTGACCAATAGTGATTCCACGCAGAAACCGATCATTTGTATCGACAACTAAAATTTACAAAATTTAATTTCTTAAATTCAAATATTTAAAAAAAAATCCCACCTCTGACCCAGGTGATTGTGTCAGGGTCAATATCCAATCGAGCAAAACTGTTGATCTCCTCAGGTGTCAGAGAGTTAGGGTCGGTTTTATCAATTCCAAGCTTCTGCAGTCTTTTAAGCTGGATTTTTGAAAACTCCTTTTTGCCCTTGACCGAATGCACAAGTCGGTTGTAAAGAGCTGTGTCAGACTGAGAAGCCTCGTGAAACATGCGAGCATCGATCTGAGCAGCCAGAAGGTTATTTGCAGCAGTGACAGCGTGGATGTCACCTGTCAGGTGGAGGTTGAACTCCTCCATTGGAATGACCTGCGAATAACCTCCTCCAGCAGCTCCACCTAGAATTGAACATTTAATCCTTTTAAAACAAAATTTTAATGATATAATAAGTACCTTTAAGCCCAAATGTTGGTCCTTGGGATGGCTGGCGGACGCAGGCAATTGCATTGACCTTCTTGTGTGCCGAAAGTGCCTGAGCCAAACCGACGGTGGTTGTGCTCTTACCCTCTCCGAGAGGGGTGGGAGTAATTCTAAGATTTAGTGCGAGGTTTTAAATGTTGAAAAAGTTTTAGTTAATTAAATATCATTAATTCAATTTCAAAAGATTACTTCAAAAATTATTGTTTAATGATAATCAATTAATTAAAAATTAAAATTTTTAAATAGTTACTTCAGGAAACAAATAGAGGTGGCATGATTAGTTTTAAATCAAATTTAAATTGTGTGGTATAATTATGATTATCTCTCTACATCAGCCCAAATGTAGAGAAATCTCTCTACATGGGCTCAATGGAGTAAAATGAATATTAAAACAAGTGCATACCCAGCAACCACAATATATTTGCCATTTTGGCTGGCAGCAAGTCTCTTGATGGCTGACAGAGAAATTTTTGCCTTCTTAGAACCATAAGGATGCACCTCAGCCTTCATCAGACCAATCTCATCAGCCAGTTGGGTAATTTCTTTGGGCACTTGCGCTCGAGCGACCGAAATATCACTGCAATTATTTTTAATGAGTTCCTAACAATCATAATAATAGCCTTTCAAAAATGATCACCTTGGCACCGGCGACTGAATTTTCAAGGGCAGCGGACGGAGGTTCCACTTGGGCTGCAGCAGCCGCTCGAGCATTTTCTCGGCAGCCAGGACGGTGTTTCTCATTAACATGATGACCGTCATTGGCCCGACGCCACCTGGGACAGGTGTGATCCACGAAGCGCGCTTGGCTGCACCCTGGTAGTCTACATCGCCCACGAGTCGCTTGCCCGACTTCTTGCTTGGATCTGCGAATGATTCAAAATAAAAACAAATTGGCCGAGAGACACTTTGACCTCCGAACCGTCAATCGAGTTGATGCCACAATCAATGACGACAGCGCCCGGCTTGATCCACGACTCTTTCACCATCTCAGCGCGACCGATGGCAACAACCAGAATGTCAGCAGCGGCGGCTTTCAGCTCCAAGTCTCTGGTCTTGGAGTGGCACACGGTGACTGTGGCGTGGTGCCACTTCAACAATTCAGACATCGGAGTGCCCACGATTTTGCTCCGGCCAAGAACAACAGCGTCACTTCCCGCAATTTTCACGCCCGTTCTAAAATATAATTAAGAAAAAAAATTAAAGAACAGCACATTCAGAATAATCAATTAAATTTATGAATTTATGAAATCTCACCTTTTGATTAGCTCCATCACTCCGTTAGGGGTGCAAGGCAAAAATCCATTTTCCAAGTCTCCGGTTGCAACACGGCCCTCATTAACAGTGTGTAAACTATCCAAAATAATAATAACTCTTCTCTTAAAATCTAGGAATTGCTAATTAAAATACCCATCCACGTCCTTCTCAGGATCTACGGCGTCTGTGATGGTGTGAGGGTTGATATAGTGATCAGAATCGGGAGGCATTTGGACGATGATTCCGTGAATGTTTGGGTCTTGATTCAACTCATTAAGTTTCAACAGGACCTGTTTTGAAAGCAAGAAAATTGTGTAAAAGAAAAATTTTTGGTAGGGATGTTAAACCTCCACTTCGGTGGTGGTCCTTGGCATCTTGACGTGAGAAGCCTTGATACCGATTGCCTCTGCATTTTTCAGTTTCATCCTGATGTAGACATTCGAGTCTTCCCGTCCTCCAATTTGGACAATGGCCAGGCCAGGTCGATAGCCAGGCAATTTCTGGCCCATAGCCTCAACCCTTTTCTTGAGCTCCTCTTTGACATCGCTAAAAATATGTATGATGTCATAAATTAATTAATTAAGTTGTGCACAATTTTAAATTGTTACAATTTTCAAAATTTAAAAAATTTTAAGTCTGCACCGCTGTTAAATTATTGAAATTCTCTTTATTTTCTGCCAAATTTATTTATAGTTTTAAATTTGTGAAAATAAAAATAAGTCATGGGGGTGTGGTGAACCCGGTGAAAAGAGCACAAGAATTTGAGTTGGATTTTCAACTTAGTTATTCATGTTGATTTAAAACTGCGACTTTGTTATTTTACGTCTCGTTTGAAAGATCGTACTTTGGAGAATCCCATTCAACAACCCTTTTGCTAATTACCTGGAGGCATCGTTGCCTGAGAGCACTTTTGCGGCACCTGTTGATTCGCCAGACATGTTTACGCTCCAGCCAAGGACGGACACCTGACGGCAACATTGAGTCACGTGGTTAATATTTGTGCGTAGCAACAAAAACCCGCGGGCGAACACGAGGGTTGCTAAACGGGACATACATGTTTGGTCGAGGAATGACCAAAAATTATTTGTTCAATTTTTATTTTTATTTCTACACTACAAGAAAAATATTGTTTGTGAGTCGAAATTTTTCTAGGTCAAAAGAGAAAAACAATAAGATTTTTCGTGATTTTTATCTCCGCTCATATGTGATGGGGGTTGTTTTGTTTGAAAAGTAAGGGGGGCGAGAAAACGCGCGCATTAATCTTTGGGTGATTATTAATTTTTGTCTTCAAAATTTTTAATTAAATAATAATCATCATAATCATTATAAAGAAAAAAGTAAATTGAAAAGCAGCAAAATAATATAAATTAAAAAAAAAACGCAAAATTAACTTTTTTTTGTTTTAGAATAACAAAAAATTTACAAATTAATTTTGGTATATATCCAAGATCTTATAAGATATAATTTACGATAATTTGCCCGGAGGAATCCAAGAAAAAAAATATTGCGTAATAAGAGATGCTGGAGGAGAACCCGCTATAGATTAATAAAAAAATATAACCTGTTTCAAGCGCTTAGTATTCTGAAGTCTTCGGTGGTCAAACACGATAGTTGCGCCGATCGCAAGTTCCTCTTCGGTCCTGTTATCACAACTTTTTCTTGCAAAGGACTGCGACCGATGAGGCCAAGAAAAACTCCGGGGTCGCGCAAACAGAGCCAAACTCCTAAGTGCTGAAGCGATTAACCGGCCCTCGTCGTGCATACATATATTATTTTTGTGCTGGCCGCCGGCAGAGATAATCACAGTAAATAAGAGTACTAGGAAGGAGAAATATTCAAGAGAGGGGATCGGTCACTTCAGTGTCATATCACATTGATTGGGGCTCGTCTTATATAGGATAATAAAAGTTATTATCCCCCCTCTTATTAAATGTATATGCAAACGTGTCTTCATCATTTATGTGACACAGATTTTAATTAATTGAAATGTCTGTTTATTTAAAGTTCAAGGGCAATTTATGATGTGACAGCTTATCATAATTTAATTTTGTAAAATGTAATTATACTGGGACTTGCTTTTGGAGGAAATTTTCAAATTTTAATAAAACGAATCCTGGTGAAATACATTCATATTCTTCTATCATGTATTTTTTTAAGAGAATTATTATTGCAAGAATTATTTTCTTCCCAAACTATTGTCTTCCTCGGAATAATCTCCAGCACTGAAATCGCATTTGGCATAGACGTACTCTCTGATGACCAGGGTGTTGGGTTCCTGAGGCGGTTCCTCCCTATTTTCCACGCCACCTCCCTCCTCATCAGAAGAAGTGCACCTGAGCAGCCAGGACAACCATGGCATTGCGTCGCACATTCCACCCAGCCATCCGTCAGTGCCTCTAGCCCTAGGGTTAGACAACATGGAGCGCATAGCCGCCACCCTGGCTGCTTCCTGGCCCTCTCCACTGCTCAGAGCTTTGAAAAGTTCCTCCGCGCTTAAAATTTTTGTTTTAAATATTTTTACGAAATAATAATTTGCTTCAAATTGGCCACCTATGTTTACTGGGTTCTACATCGTTAGGGAAAAGTGCATCTAGCAAAAGCTCTTCAGGAAAGCCAAGCATGTTGGTCGTTGCCAGAGATCTCTCGATTAACTCCGGGTCATCTGGCGCGTTGGCCTTTGACCCCTTTGATTAGAGCATTAAATTTGTGCGTTTAGGAAAAATAATCAATAACATACCTCCAGTCCAAATACAAAGTAAAATAACAAGATCGACACAGCTCCCTTCATTGCACAATAAACTTTGAACAATGGAAGAAAAAAGCTTTAACCTTTTATACTTTTGTTAGTATCTGAAAGGAAGTGTCCCCTTGATGATAAACTATCATGCTAATACATTTTATCCAACTTTTGCAAATGCAGGTGCTCGGCAGCAACTTGGATAAGAACATAATATGCAAAGCAAATGAAGTGGCGCGACTTTAATTTATGCTAAGTACTTTTGAGTTACAAATCTTTTATTTAACCATCAACCTCAAAATTGTTACAGAAGGAAACATCTTATCTCTGGTAAAAACCAGTGGTTGACAGCTCAGCACAAAACTTATGACTGAATTATCTTTAATTTGAGGAATAATTAAATAATATTGCAGAGAATCCAGAAACAACTAAAGGTAAAGGCCTTCAGGAGTGCCTTCCTTCTTGCGGTACAGGACGCTCTCCTTCGATTTGCGGAAATCTTCATTTGTCACCTTCATGCGCCGCTCTCGAAGGGCAAGCAAACCAGCCTCAGTGCAAATGGCCTGTTATTTTAATAAATCAATACAAATCTCCATCTTCAAAAAAAAAAAAAAAACTCACTTTGATGTCAGCCCCGGAGAGATCATCCTTGGACATGATGAGTTCTTGGAGGTTCACGTCCTCAGCCAACGTCATCCTCGACGTGTGGATGGTGAAGATGCGCCTTTTAGTTTTTTCATCTGGCAGAGGAAACTCAATTTTCCTGTCAATACGGCCAGGACGAATGAGAGCAGGGTCCAAGGTTTCAATTCGATTTGTTGCCATAATGACCTTAAGAAACAAATCTTGTGAGCAGAGTTCTATTTTCATTCTAAAATAAATACCTTGACATCTCCCCTAGAGTCAAATCCATCCAACTGGTTCAGCAGCTCCAACATAGTTCGCTGGATTTCTCTTTCACCACCAGAATTTGAGTCGTATCTTTTGGTGCCGACAGCATCAATTTCGTCAATGAAGACGATGGAAGGAGCGTGTTCTTCAGCCACTCTAAACAACTCCCTCACAAGCTTGGGACCATCACCCTAATAATGGTAAAATGTTACGATTTCAGTTCAACCAAAAACTTTTATAAAACGAACCAGGTATTTTTGGATAAGTTCTGAGCCGACCACTCGCAGGAAAGTGGCAGACGTTTGATTGGCCACAGCCTTAGCCAGAAGAGTCTTTCCTGTGCCTGGAGCTCCATATAGGATGACACCCTTTGGAGGTCGGATGCCCATTTCCTCGTAGTATTCAGGGTGGGTGAGGGGTAGCTCAACAGACTCTTTGATCTCCTGAATCTGTGTGTCGAGACCTCCAATGTCAGCATAGGTCTCTTGAGGAGCTTTCTCCAATTTCATCACTGTCACCATTGGATCTGTGTCATCTGAGAGCACTCCAACCACAGCGTGCACCTGAAAATATTATATATTATATTTTAATATATCCAGGATAATAATTAATTTCAAAAAATTATTTAAAAAATCAGGCAATTGTTTAAGAAGCCTTTTTTTCTTGAAAAGACAGAGCTTCAAGCTTTTAATCTGTTTAAAATTTTTAATTTTTTTTTTTGTTAATTTGCTCCAACTGAACTTATTAGTTCATTCTAATGAAACATTGCAATTTTTACCTTGTGATTTAGGAGTACAGAACAGCCTGGTTCTAGTTGATCTTTGTCAACAAAGGACAGAATGCTGACATAATGCTCGCTGCCTACAGATGTGGAAACAATGGCGTGGTTGTCGTCTATAATTTCCTCCAAGGTTCCAACTGACATTGGTGTTCCTCGCAATTCATCCACCTTTGAACGCTCCTCCTAATATTTGATGAAATAAGGTTAGTTCCGATAAAACTTATAATTAAAAAAAATTTGACATTAATTATTAACCTCATTCTTCTCCTCCTGTGGCTTCAGTCTCTCCTGATTTCTGATGAACTCCTCTTCCATCAGCAAGTAATCTTTGATCCGTTCACTTTTCAGAAGTTTCAGTCTGCATCTGGAGTGCGGTGTAACTGATACACGAAGGAAAATTTCAGAAAAATGCCAGCAGATTTCTCTTTGAATTCAAATTTGTTAGCAAAATTCTTGTTGCAGGTAATGGTGCTGTTACTGTCATTTTGTGCAACAATGAATTTTTTCTAATAATTCTTTGCTTGACTTAAGCCATCATTTTCCAAACACAATGTGGTTTTAAATTATTTGGTTAATAAACACTAGGGAAAAATCAAATAAAAGAATTTTCCAGCAAACCTTGGGGCAATTTGAGAGCTGCATCAGGACCCTTTGTCTTCCTCTTCTTCTTGCCCACTCTGGTTGGAATAGGGGGTTCATATTTCTTCTTCTTGTCTTTATCGTCCTTTTTGTCACCTCCACCAGACCCGCCCGACTGGTTTTGACCCTAAAATATAATCGAAATTCGTAAATTCAAATAATTCATTGAACACGCAAACGCTTTTGTGAGCCGATTTTAATTTGCCAAGAATTTTCGAAAATAAATCAGATAATTTAACTCACAAGCGATAATAAATTATTTAAAGACTCGTAAAACTCTAAAATAAGGGCCGTTTTGGGTTTTGCTTAGGAAAACTTACCATTTTTGCGAAAAGTTATTCGTTCAATTTGATGATCAACAAAAATACGCCTGATCATTCACGTTCACGAAAGGGCGACGGTGCTGCCACCCAACGTAAAATGTTGGCGACCTCCGATTCGTGTCGAATGAGAGGGGAAAACGCGTGCTGTGAATGGCATGCAGAATCCACTTTTCAAGTTTTTCAACAATGAATATTACAAATATTACATTTATTCCATTTATTTCTACTGTTGTAAATTTTACCAACAATATCAACGTATTTCAAAGTTAGATGGAGATAAAAATGAAAGAAACTCTAAAAATAAACGTAAGGCTAGATTTTGCTGCAGATTAGTTTTTTTTTGTCTCTTTGGGATTAATCTAAATAAATATATTGGGTAGTTTAAAAGATTTTAAACATCTTGATCTTCTCCGATCCTCAAAAAAACATACTTTATTACATCATTTATTTTAAATTTAAATGACATCCAATGATCATGATCGGTAAGAAATTTTAAATTATTCATGCTACATGAACGCATTGTGTATTAAAATGTTAATTCTGCGGTTAATTTGTGTTTAGCTTGGATGATATTGGAGGAGAAATTTTCAACTGGTATGAGAACTGATTTCTTTTCAGTCAATTTCACTCTGTATCACAATAGAATTATGCATATAATTGTTTTTTTTTTCATATAATTGTATTTTACATATCATATAAAACTATTATTTCTATATTTTTTAAAATTACGGTGTGAAATTTTATTAAACACTACCAAGAGTATGATTAAAATCACGCTTTTCCAGGAAGAAAATCCCAGTTCTTAAATTAATAATTCGCGTCTAGCATTAGGGACAATATCAATGTTCTTATTGATTTAGATACTATAATCATAATCAGTCACTTTAAAGAAATTCCTGCATAAAATATGTTAACAAAGCAGAAAACTATATGTTTTATATTTATTTTAACAAACAAGGTATTCAAATCAAAATTTATTTCACAGATAAAGGACAAAAGGTACTTGCCTTGTTTTAACTTAATCATCAGTCAGTATATTATCTTTTTTTTGCTACAAATTCCTAGGTATGCAAATTTACATCAGTCATAAATTAAATACTATTTGTTAAATTCACCTTTTAACAATTAAAAAAAAATATATACTTGCAAGACTTGTACTTCTTAATTTCTTTCAATCGTTGTCAGATCACATCAGACGATTATCTGAAATTCGCAGAAGGAGAAGTGTCAATTTTCTATGCTCTCTTCACTCGAGCTATCCGAATCATCATTGTCTGTATGATCTGTATCACACAGCTGATTTCTTGCTTCCTGTGAATTAAATTTGTTAAAAAAAATCATAAAATACATGCTGCTTACCTCCAGCTGCTTCTTCAAATTCTTGATTCTCATTGAGAACTGACTACTCATCTGTCTGGCCTTTGACAGTGCAACGGTCAAGTCAGGAATGTAATTGCTGCCAAAGTTGTTAAGCACCGCTTCATTGTACCTCACTCTAAACTTGTTGAAATAGCAGCGGAGAAGGGTGGTTTGCTCCCTCTTTTCCTGCTCAAGCTCCTTAAGCAGAGTCACCAAATGATGGTAATTAGCCTGAGCTTCAGCCATATTATCGGTCTGCTGCAATTAAAAAAATCTTCATTTTAAGTTTAAATTTAAACTTAACATAAATCTTCACTACTACATCGGTTAAATAATACAGTTTGAATTGGTTATCATTGATTACAAAAATATTTTTCATTTTAATCATATAATAATTAAATACCATCCATATTTAATTTTTATTATAAATTTGATGCCAATTTCTATACTCTACTGCTTAATTATAAAATCTCAATAAAGCAATTGAATTATAAGGAAATTTTCAAAAATAATTATAGAAGCAAAAGCACAAAGCATAATTATGTATACAGTATACATGTCTATGAAGTTAAAAAAATGTCAATTTCTTAAAGTTAATTTGTACATAATGTCAATTTTTTAAAGTTAATTTGTACATAATTGTACATAATAAAATGTCCGATTATATCTTTATATTATTTCCGATTATTTCCTCCATGCATACCGATATATATACTACATAATTTTGCGGCACTATGCATAATTTTAAATAATATGAAAAGTAAAAAAAAACAAAAAAAAAACAAGAAAAATACATAAATAATGTCATAAAATATATACACAACACATTTACATAAACATCATAAACTGTACACACCGTTGCACTGCTTTTAGTAGAGAAGTGCGCCCAATCTTTATCCTCCATCGTTCCCATCTCACTCATAATTGTAGAATTAGAGCAAAATCTTTTTGCAATAATTTGCTGCGCTTCCATTTAAAACAAGTACTTATCATTATTACGGTAAAGCTCTTGGACCAACAATACATTCATACTTAATTCTGTCAGACGGCCGGGTGCGAGCAGAATAACAGACGACTACGGAGCGTTTGCCGGCGTTTTTAATCCTCTAAAGTGATTATACATTTATGCATTTTTTATCCCGCCTTATTTCCCTTTTCCATTGAATTTTTACTTTTTAGACAAAATTTCAAGAGTGGGGAGGAAAAATAGGAGTCCACAACAGGTATAGACATCTGTTGGCCAATGATTAACCTACTTTCTCGCATTTCACCAACTCAACAAAGCCACGCCCACACACCATTTACATCCGAACCTGAAATCTCCAAAGTCCAAGCAGAAAGCGCCGGTCTTTCTAATTAGTTAAATAATTGAGCCACAAAATATTTTTTTCTTAATTAAATTTTAATTCATTTTGATAAGCTCCTTCAAGGTTGTATATTTATCATGTCTGTAAGTGTGAAATTATTAAAAAGATTTTTGGTATTGAATTTGATAGAAAATTTCCACACATTTTTAACAACTTCTTTTTAAACATTTTAATAGTTTACTTAAAATATCTGAGGTTTAAAACGTGTTTTAGGGTGTCGTGAAAAAGCCACAATCTCTGGAAAAACTTCTCATCAATGTGAAGAGTGTTGACGGGAAAGAATCAAAGAAACTCGCTTTTGTAAGTTTGCCAACCAAATTATTTGTGCCACGGGATTTTTCGTGATTTTTTATTTTATTTTAGAGCAAAGAATGGTGTGAAAACAGAGAATGGATGCATTTCTCACCTGTGGATGGCACTGACGATTGGTTTGAGGCGGTGTCCGAATTTGAGGACGACTTGATATGGCTGCTTTCTCTTCCGCACAACAAGTATTTGAAGCAGTTGAAAATATTCGGTCGTAATCCTAATTTTCCTGATTAAAGATTTTGGTCTCAACTGGTCTTTGACCCTGGTGCCAGGACAGCGTTGGTCTCTTACCTTCAAAAAGCGCCACGAAGCTTTGACTCTGACCTGCTCGGACTTGCACCAACGCAGAAAGAAATTCTCACCAGAGTGCACAATTTGGTCTTCAAAATCTACAATCGTCTGATGACCTCCAAAGAATCTGACGTCGGTGAATTTTTTGCATCCTAGACATGGTTTACTCACAATTGCATTCCAGACGTGTTTCCTGAGCAAAGAAATGCATGGCACCATTATGTATGAAAACTATTTGCTTGATGTTCCTGCCATGCTTGACCTTTGCCTCCTATTTGGCGTCACGGAAAGGCGAAACCTTTCAAAACTTCTTCAGTCTGTGATTAAGTCTCAGCCAAAGTATGCTAGCGACCTTCAGTCCACAGCTCAGATGTTTGTCAAAGTAAACAATTTTTATATTTATTGATAAAAATATATTTTTTACTTTTATAACTTAATTTTAGGCGCTCAAAGACTTGGAGCAGTATTTTGTTGGAGAGGCGGCTGCAGGAAACTCTGAACCTGTAAAACTTTCAAATCTTTGCCCATCAGAAAGAGGATTGATCAAAGAACAGCAATTGGAAGATTACATTTTGTTCCTCATTGACATCGTTTCCTCGACCTCGATGCTGCTTGAAATATTACCTAGTTTGCTCCCTTCCTTTGTCTCTGCTCTTCCAGAAATAGAGTAATTTTCAAAATTTATCATATAGATGTGATTGAAATTATATTTTCGTACAGGATTTCTCAGTTTTATGAGCAAACGTTGCCTACAATGTATAATAGCATATCTCAGGTGGAAATTGAAGACAGGGGAAGTTCCTTCAACACTATGATGAACTGCGCTCGAGTCAGTCTTTTGAGCGTGGCCAAACTCACCCTCAACCACAGAGCCAATTCCATTATTAGTGAACAGTAAGTCCACATATGAAAAATTAAAACCGTTTTTTACCCAAAATTTTCTAGTGAGTTCACTAGAGCCATGGGTCAGACTGAAGAGTATTTAACTGTTCTTTCCGAGTGTCTCTCCTGCCCAAAGTTCATCATGGATTTGCATTCCGTCTGTCCACTGGACTGTGATTTGAAAAGACTTCTTGAAGCTAGGCCAGATATTTTGTAAGTATGATGAGATGCAAATTATGTTCTTTTATTATTGCTTATTTCTTTTATTTTCCAGAGATGAATCCAAATGCAACTACCTGACTGACTCAATATTCAGCTGCCTGGAGTCCTGCAGTGTAGAAAGACGTAATCGCAAATCTCCTTCAGCATCCGAGCCGTCAAGTTCTATGAGCAACTCATCTAAAGAACCAACACCAGCACCTTCGACGTCAAATACCCACATTAGGACTGACGAAGTCATGTCTGAAGATATCCTGTTGGAGTCTTTGATTTGCAGCATTCAGGACATGCTGCCAGATCTTGGTGCAGGCTTCCTGAAGGTGTGTGATAATAGATAAAATAACATTTTTGAGATCAAAATTGAAATTTTCAGAAATGCCTAAAACATTACAACATGGATAAAGAGGCCGTTGTAAATGCTGTGCTCGAAGATTCCCTTCCCCCAGGACTGAAAGAATTAGATAGGACTCTTCCCTTACTGCCTACTGAGGTATTTTTCTGCTCTTAAACAAATGGAACTTTGTCAGTAACTTTGTAATGATTTAAGATTATGGAAAGTAACAATTTGCCAACTCTGACACCAAGGTTGAATGTTTTTGATCATGATGAATTTGACATTATGAGTCGAAATTATATTGACACATCAAGAGTGCACCAAGGCAAACGGTATTTATTTGTTTAATATTATAATTTTTTCAAATAAATTATGTTTCATCAACATTTTATTCAGAAAAAGCAAGCACAAGAATCTTTCTCAGTTGCTGGACGACAAGAAAGATTTGGCACAAATCAAGGACACATACACCAGTTATGGTACTGTTTCTGATGTTGTCTACGATGATGAATATGATGATACTTACGACGAACTCAAAGAATTCAAAATAGATGATGGTGCTGATCCTGACGCTGAAAGGTTTATTTCAATTGATTAATTATGAGAAAAGAACCAAAGTTTGCATCAAATTATCAGGCGGCCGTTTGTCACTCCGAGAGTGCTTCGAAAGAAAGTGGAAGTTGTAGAAGAGGAAGAAGAAGAAAGTGAGGAGGAAACTGAAGAAAATATTCCAAACAGAGACAACTTTGCTCAAGATCCAGCTTTAATGAGGGAGCGTGCACAGCAGCGACGAGAAGCTAAATATGGGCCTCCAAGGCAAGCACCCCGAGGAGATGTTGTTGGTAAATTTGATATTATATTTTTTAAAGGTCATTTTGCAAATATATTTCTAAAATCAGGGAATGCCAAAGGCAAAGGTCAAGATGCTAATGTGCTGCTAAACAGAAGACGCAAAGATGCTAACAAATCAAGTCGTGGAAACCACAACCGAAGGGCTGGAGCTGAGAGAAAGCTTCGTCAGGGAATGATTCCTTCGTGAAAGGTATAATCGATAATGTGATGAAGTCTTATATTTGTCAAAAATGGATCACATAAAGTACTTTTGTGATAATTTTCAAACATAATCTTTTCCTGAAACTTAAATAAAAAAGCCACAAATTTATTTATCAGTATATAAACTTTTATAAATTTAATCACAGGTATTAATGTCATTATTTCTTAAAAGTTAATCTCATTTATCAGGTACAATTGACTGAAGATTTCAAAATCTCATTTCCAAGGGTGCTCCTCCAGCATCCATTGTTGTCGTGCTGAGTGTTTGGCACATTCGTTGACTGTAATCTCGTTGTTTTGGTTATTTCCCGGTCCATTTAGACATAATCCAGACACTTTATGCACCAATGTCAAATTCTGTTGATTTCAAGGTTAATTTTTGGAAATTTTCCAACCATTCTCTCACATTTCTGTGGTAAATCCACTTCTGCCTCTCAAGCTGCGAACAGGCCGAGAGTCTTGCCGTGGTCCCTATTATTGCACCCTCACTGCTTTCCCTCACGTCCAAACAAATGCTCTCATCAGTCATCACAGGACCATTCGGCACTATTACGAACATTTGAAGCAATGTCGGAGGATTCATACTAATGCAGTTTATGACGGTGGCAGCCCCAAGGGCTGTGTTGGCGTTGTGAGGTCTTTGTAAACATCTTCCACTTAACTTGTGCACCACCTAAAATGTTTTTGAATATTTATTTATTTAAAAATTAACTTATTAAATTTTATTACCCTTCCAAATATTCTATCAGGCCCTGGAAAGAAATTTTCCGGCCAAATATTTTTCAAATACCACGCAAAGTTTTTGCACTGCAGTCTTTCTCTCAGCTCGAATCGAGATCTCAATTGCTGTTTGTCTTTTAATTGAGCGGCTTCTGTGAAAATAACAAAATCAACCATTTGCAAAGAAAATTAAAATTTCATTCTTACGTGGACTGAATCTGAAATAAAATTCCGCCCAATCGTCCATCCACACGGCAGCCGCTCTTGCTAAATTGGCGTAGAGCGTGTTCGCCACCCCTCCTTGCGTGGGGAAGGTGTAAGGGGATGATTTGCGAAACAAGTGTCCTACATGTGAGCACGGCGCGATAAGGACTTGGCCTCCGCACTGCCACACGCGGAATGAAAGCTCTAGATTTTCACCGCCCCAAATCTGCATGCCTTCGTCGTACGAGCCGATTTCAAAAAAGTATTCCTTGTCTATAGCAAAAAGTCCTCCAGCCATGACCGGCGTTCTTAAAAAAAAATATCTCAATTAAAGTTTGACTCATAAATCAGTGTAACTAAAAATAATTCTTTTAAATTTAATTGAGTCATTTCTTACTTGAAAGGTGCTACAATATCTTTTCTCCGGTGGGTAATTTCGGAGCTGCCAAGCGAATACCACCTGAAATGCATTTGCCAATTGAAAGCACCCCAGTGGAGCTCAAAACTCCTAATGTAGGCAAAGGTGTCGTCCGACAGAATATCAATGATGGGGCAAACCACCCTTTTCCGGTCCTCACTGATCGGCACAATTAAACTCTCCAACCACCCTGCAAGCGACAAGCAACGTTCAACTTTCGCGAATTTGCAACAAAAACAAATCACTTGCCTTTTGTGACCTCGCAGTGAGCGTCTAGAAAAACAAGCACCTCGCCTCGCGCTTGTCTTGCTCCACGCAGTCTAGCTTTGACGAGGCCTCCTCGCTCCTGCAAACGCAAAATCCTCGTCGCTATGGGCAATTCCGACACGTGCTTTTCTAGTGGGTACTTTAAAAACGCTGAAAATTGGAGCATTTATAAATAAAAATTTAAATTTTTGAAATTATCAAAAAAGAATTATCAAATTAAATTAAATTTCACCTCTATCACTGGCGTCGTCCACAAGAATAATTTCCTTCAGAACTGTTGATGGTGATCTGTTGATCACACTGTGCACAGTTCTTAATAGTGTTGACCAAGCCTCATTGTGGAATACAATTATTATGGAGGCTTTCGGCAAACCTTCTGCAGGCGCAAACCTTGACGCGCATCTGAAAATTCCGAACTATTTTTCTCTGTAATTTACCTTTAATTAAATTTTACGTCTTTTTCCGGACGTCCGGCAGAGATCTATTGAGGGGAATCCTGTCGCTCGCAAGCAAGTTGAACCTGTTGATTTTGAAGAGCTGGTGCATTTTTGACAATTCGAATGGCGCCAGCTGCACAGGGGAGCCATCCTTGCCTGCATTGGGCCTCGGAGCAAATAAGTTTGAGTCCAAAATTTCTTGAAAAGCGAAAAAAGAGAAAAATAAATAAAAGAATGACAAGCTCGGATTCGTGTGATGAGTTGTGGGAAAATCTTGGAGTAAAAGTTGCAGAGTTAATTTATTACCCTTTGTCAGGTTCAAGCGTGGATCGTCAAAGGCAGATTTGTCTCCCATGTAGTGTCCCACGATGACTCGCATACCGCTCTTGTGGTCCACGTAGTTGGTCTGTCCCGCCGCCTTCAAAGCCGGGCTGCGTGCGCACGACACAAGAGATTATAAATTTATAAAGTCGACATTAGAGGCGAGCTGTGCTTTTCGCGCAGCCAGTCGCGTCTAGTCTAGCAAGCAATTATCACCCAAAAGCCCGCGTACGTGTCGCTGCTCCAGAGAGCACAATAAACATTGTGTTCGCATTAGTGTAAAAAAAACCCTAGTCTGATTCGAGCGCAGTGATAAATTTTTGTCGCGGTGCATCCACAGGTTCAGTGCCTCTGAACGCCACCATGAGTGAAACCTTTGATGTGATTTAAGGTCAGGAACCTCTTTTAATTATTTTTTTATTGATCTTTTGCGTGAATCATATTTTATCACTTGTTAGAATTTGTCAAAAAAATCATGTTCCATTCTTATTCAAAATTTTCCATAACGAGGCTCAGCGAAATCGATTTTGGCGTGACCAGTTAGTGACAAGTGACTGCTCAAGTGCATGATCGTGCATTTTTCACAAAAGCATTGAAATACTTTAATGAGAGGCAGGAAATTGTTGAGAGGAAGTCATTTATCAAGTGTATTAAATTTTATTGAATGACGTTAATGCGGATTTGAGACTTTAAATTAAGCAGGGCCAAACATTAATTTAACATTTTTATGATCAAAATTTATTGCAAGCCTTAAGAACTGTTTAAAGAAAAATACTTCGAAAAAATTCTCACCATATTTTTAATTAAATTAAGCTAATTGTCAGTTACAGTTTTAATAAAGTGTAGTCAACACTTAATTGCAAATAATTTATAAGTTCAAACAAGAGTTTTTTCCTTCACAAAAATGATTGTAATTTTGTTTTTGTATTCATAATCAACAGCAAGTTTCAATATTTGACTAGTGACTATGGTTCATACTCGCGCGCGCGTGGATTTGGCTTCGTCTGCTGGGAACTTGGGAGTCTGTCCGCTGAGGCACAGAGTAAACCTAATTCAGCAAATAAACAAGAATCTTTTTTCACTGCAGCTCTAGTGTAAATAAACTCCAACTTCCTTTGCTATTCTCATGCAAAAAAGGGAGCAAAAGTCTAACCGAGCTTAACGGCGCCGGTCGCACTACTTTCTCCTTTTATACATTTTGTTTTAATTTGACTTTTAAATTTATATTTTTCTCTAATCCGAGATTCTATTTTTTTTTTTTTTTACATCAAGAAAGGAACTTGCTATAATTAACAATTATACAAAAAGGAAACTTTCCGAGGGTCCCGTCCACCCTAAGTGGTTTGGCACAAAGCCGAGAAGGGCGACTTGTTTTTTCTCGTAATTTCACTCGACTGTGTCTGCGCTCGAAGCAGTTTTGTTGCATGGAAGAAATATACTAACTTGTCGTTGGACCACGCGTCGAGGCTGCTGGTGTCATTCTTTGATTTCCGGGAACCGCTGTTTGCGATAACGAACAAGACTAGGAGAAATAAGAGCGCCCCGATGATGCTCGCCCTCCGGCGCCGCAACATCCAGGCCCACGGGGCGCGCATTGCGGAAGCGGAGGAAACAAAATGCTGAAACAAATCATTCAAATTAGTTTAATTTTTTTTATTCATGGCGATCTTTTAGTTCAATTACATGTAACATGCAGAATTTTCAGAAGTCAAAATTTATTATAAAAAAATCATATTTTATATTTTTATCAAGAGATTTATAATTCTTTTTTGGATTTTTTGAAGTGAATTATTAAATGACCTTGCCCTATAGTATATACATATAAAGTTTCTTTTTTTTTTAAATCAGTTTAAAAAAAGTTGAATTTTTTACCAATTAAAAAAGCAAAGCGTGAAATTTAAATTTGTAAGTCAGGATTGCAGGATGCACAGTTTAAAAGTTGTTGTTCCTGTTCATTTTTTCACCACACCTAACCGATTACGCGCTGCTGACGGAACTGATTCAACTGTGCTTTCGATTTTCAGCTCAGGCCGCGGTCACAGTCTGCTGGTCACTCGTCTGATGCGAGATGACCTTACGACCCCCGTTCGTTTCATCTATTTTTTACTGCATTTGAATTGATGGCGCCGCTCGCGTCGTTTGCAAACGATATGTAAATTATTTCCAGCAGAAACAGCATCCTTTGACCTGGATGCTGATTACATTAATTGGGCCACTTTCGTTCTCATTCCGAACAATGGACATTTTCATTAAAACCTAAATTTGAGTTAGTTTGTTTTCATCAGGAAATCGCTAATTTGGACTTTTTTGTTAGAGCCGAATTCAAATTTTTTTCGCCGTAAAAAATAATGTTGCTAAATATTATTCTAAAAAAAAAAATTAAATCTAGTGTCCTACTATATTAAATTTGCTCCAATTTACTTCATGGAAGTGTGCGTCCTATATATTAGGATGCTAACGAAAGCAAACAGAGAACGCGCATTTGATTTGAAACATTTAAAATTCAAAACTCGGGATTAGCTTTAGCAGACATTTTATTATCAGATTTGCATCACAAAGTCGCCAAGGTTCGCTTTGTGTGTCGCTGCAGAAATCCTCAACCCACTCAAAGAGAAAACTCACTCATGCAACGCGCGCAAGGCTGGCTGAAGTAAAAATATTTTTCGGAAGCCCGCAGATGTGTTTGGTCTGCGTCTCGTTTTTTTAAACTTAATTATCAGAACAAAATTGTTTGTGTCAGAATGCGGACCTGACCGTGACACTTGGACTAAGCACTAACAATATAAATCAGCAAAAAGTAAAAATTTTGCATCGGGCAGCAAATTTAGATTTGTTAAACAAATAAAACAGTTGTTTCACGAATTCGGAGCACGGTAGGGCTAAGGGCTACTTTCTGATCCGACATTCGGAATTTAAACTTTAATGAAAACTCACCTAAATTGAAAATTATCTTGGCAAAGGAGAACACTACGAGTTTCGAAAACAACCTGCTGGTGTTATCGTGTGTGTTGAGAGTGTGAGCCCTGAGCCGGCAAAGAAGGAATTCACCTGGTAGGAGAGGACTGGTGGGGGAAAGGTAGACAGCCAAAGGTACTCCTACAAGGGTACTCCCAGGTAAATGACCTCATACACACGCCGTAGCTTTGTAGAAGGCGGCAAAAGGCATTTATAGGAATGGAAAATATTAAATTTATAACATAAAAATTTAATTATCAAATGACATCAATGGTAATGGGGGTGTAATTAATTAAAATTTGTTTTATTATAAAGTAGCTTTTTTGTCCCGGGGGGTAAAACTTTCGAAGCAAACGAGCCTTTGGCGCGCCGGTGACACGTTTGCTGACGTAGGCGCCTCTGGCGGCAAGGTGCGACACCTGCAATAATGGTCACAGAAGGTGGCTCGATTTGGTCAATATACAGGTAGGATTTTCCGATTTTTCCAAATACCAAGCCTCGAGCAGCCACAGGTTGAACATATATTTGTTTTCCAAGATTAGCTCGTTTAAAATTACATCCGTACCACCCTGCTCAAGGTCGAATTCACTAAATATTCGCGTGCGAAAACTATCAGACCTCGGTGTATTATCTCGGTATTGTGTATTGTCAAGTGAATGCCCTTTTACAGCTCTCACGAACTCACCCAGTTTTGAAAGGTCATCTTACCTGAGGGCACGAATTTTGTGGTTACAAATGTTTTGAGTAGATATTTTTTTTCATTTCGGTACTTAAACTTCGGTAGATGAGAAGTAAACGAGAGAGAAAAATGAATACGTAAAAAGAGTTTTATTATATCCGCTTAAAAATTGCTGCGTCAACAATATTTGGGGAAAATGAAACGAAAGCAAAGATAAATCAAAACTTGAATCACGATTTTCCTGCTGACACGAGTACCTTGTAAATTACGATCGTATTAATTCAATTGAACAGAATAATGCGCATTTGTTTATTTCATGCACAATTTTGTAAACAACACATAACTCTGACATTTGAACATTAAAGTCATATAAATAAAATTTCAAAAAATAAAATTATCGGTCTTTGAAAATTTTTCAGGCTGTCAGCGTGACCTTCTGCAGAGACTCAGGGTAGAACCTGACCTGCTCCTCGCCTGCCACAGCATGCCAGACCTCTCGACCAAAAGCTAGCCTTTGACCCCGCGCTTGCTGTGTGACCGCGACCGACCCCCAAACAGTCGCTTCTGTTATCCACTGAAGATCCAACCATGTTCCGGACCAAAATCAGAATTCATACCTGTAAGGTGATCCTCTTCACGTCCCTTGTGTGGTTCCTCATCGGCGTGATGGTGCTTATGTACTACACCGAGTGCGTTGGCTCCAGGTTTGGATGAATATTTTCATTTTTTTTTTTTTTTAATTCAATTTATTCCATGATAAAAATCATCAGGTGTTGTGACGACAAGAATGGCATTGAAAAGCCTGTGGCCGAGGAACTGAAGATTGAGGAGAAAAAGGATGGCCACTCGTACGGGTGGAATTTCAAAACTTGGGTTCCGGCCCCAGTTGTGCGGGATCATCCTGGTCAGCCTGGCGAAATGGGTAAAGGTGTGACCATTCCGGAGGACCGCCAGGCAGAGGCCAAGGAGAAGTTTAAAATAAACCAGTTCAATTTGGTGGCCTCGGACTTGATTTCCCTCAATAGATCACTGACTGATGTTAGACTGAATGGGCAAGCTCCTTTTTATGGCTATTTTTTATTTGATAAATAATACATTTATGCAGGTGTAAAGATAAAGAGTACCCAGAGAAGTTGCCAACTACTAGCGTTGTAATCGTGTTCCACAACGAAGCGTGGACCACTCTTTTGAGGACAGTTTGGAGTGTCATCAATAGGTCTCCGAAGGCATTGCTGGAGGAAATTATCCTTGTTGATGATAAAAGTGAAAGAGGTAAGAACTGTTTGGCGATAAAAAAATTTTTGATTATATTGGATTGTATAGAACACTTGGGAACTCAGCTGGAGGAGTATTGCCGAAAACTGCCAGTTCCTGTTCACGTTTTCCGAATGCCTAAGAGGTCTGGTTTGATCAGAGCCAGACTGCTTGGAGCCAAACATGTCAAGGGGCAGGTTCGTAATATATAAAATTTTCTACAGTAAATAATTTTTTTAACAAATGTAGCATTTTAATACATCAATTTACTTTTAATGTAGGTAATCACCTTCTTGGATGCTCACTGTGAGTGTACGGAAGGATGGCTTGAGCCTCTCTTAGCAAGAATCGCCGAAAACAAAAAAACAGTAGCCTGTCCGATAATCGATGTCATCTCGGACGACTCTTTTGAGTACATAACAGCTTCAGACATGACATGGGGTGGTTTCAACTGGAAACTTAACTTCAGATGGTTATTTTTATTAATGTGAATAGTAAAATTAGAAATTTAAAGTATTGTCTTAGGTACCGAGTGCCGCAAAGAGAAATGCAGAGGAGAGGCGGCGACAGAACTGCTCCTCTGAGGACGCCGACCATGGCTGGTGGCCTCTTCTCAATCGACAGAAATTATTTCTACGAGCTTGGCTCTTACGACGAGGGCATGGATATCTGGGGCGGAGAGAACCTGGAGATGTCGTTCAGAGTGAGTGACGACTTATTATTATTTTTCCAAATCGGATTTGTTTTTCAGCCAAAATTTTGATGTGCTGGAATTTTTTCCCTTTTTCATTTTAAACAAACAAAAATCAGGTGTGGCAGTGCGGAGGCATTCTTGAAATCATTCCGTGCTCCCATGTGGGACACGTTTTCCGAGACAAATCTCCGTACTCCTTCCCTGGAGGTGTCTCGAAAATCGTTCTGCACAACGCGGCCAGAGTTGCTGAGGTCTGGATGGACGAGTGGCGCGAGTTTTACTATTCGATGAATCCAGGTACCTGCCGAGGAGCTATGGATTGCAACCCCAGTTTTTCACTAACCCTTTCTTGGTTAATTTGGCATTTGTCTCTCTTTCACCTTTTAATTTTTACAAGATCGTGCTGGTTCTGGGATCCTACATGGCATGAACCCCGATAATAATTGCATGTTTGTCACTAATTTTCAGCATTGAATTTGAGGAGACATCGTGAGTGAATGAACCGACGCTTTGTCAAATTTAGGGCTCTCTGTAATGTTCGAGACTAAACAATTAATCTTGTATACCTGGCGGTTGTTTGATGTGGAAACTAACTTACTTGTAAAGCATGACATAAACTCACTTGGCGTGGTGGGTGGCTGTTTCTAGACGTGGATGTGTGGTGGTTCGGTGGAGATCGCCACTTGTAGTCACGTGGGACACGTCTTCAGAAAGTCGACGCCGTACACTTTTCCCGGGGGCACCTCAAAGATTGTCAATCATAACAACGCCAGGTTGGCAGAGGTTTGGATGGATGAGTGGAAAGACTTTTACTACAATATTAATCCAGGTCAGCTTCTTCTTCCCCTGTCTGTCCTTTGCTTCTTATATTTTGTCTAAAGCACATTTCGAATAATTTCACAAGCCACTTCTTGTTTCATTAATCAAAATACACGTCCTAACAAAATTAGTGTTGGTTAATTTTTTTAACACCTGTTTGGTGCACATTAGGTACTGAATTCAAGCTTGGTTCTGCTAAATATAATACATATCCAAGTCTGTTTTCTATGAAATGCATGACATGCTATTTCTAACTTCCGTCTGCACCACTTGGCACCAGACCTTCAATTTGAACTGTCCTTTCAGGTGCCAGAAATGTTAACGTTGGCAACGTAACCGATCGAAGAGAATTGAGAAAGAAACTTGGCTGCAAAAGCTTCAGATGGTACCTTGAGAATGTCTACCCTGAATCTCAAATGCCCCTAGACTATTATTATTTAGGAGAGGTATAAATATGAGATGAAACTTAATTTTTTTATAAATTTAAATTAATATTTTCCTTTCATAGATCCGTAACGCCGAAACTCAAAATTGTCTTGACACAATGGGCCGCAAAAGTGGAGAGCTGCTTGGTGTCAGCTACTGTCATGGCCTCGGAGGCAATCAGGTATATTTCTTTTTAAAATTAAATTTTTTTCTCAAAATTTAATCATAGACTAAAAAGTCAGTAATGCACCAGGTACGGTAATAATTTTAACTTATTAATCAAAGTAAATACCAAACGTTAAATATTTTTTAATTATATTTATTCCAGGTGTTTGCCTATACAAAAAGGCAACAGGTCATGTCAGATGACAACTGCTTGGATGCGTCCAGTCAAAACGGGCCTGTTAAGCTTGTCAGATGCCACGGCATGGGTGGCAACCAAGAGTGGAGCTATGACACAACTGTACCTTAAATCGTAATTCTTTTATTCTTTTCTCAAAACCCAATTTTATTTTTAGGACCGGACGATCCGGCACAAAAACACAGGGCAGTGTTTGCAGAAACCGGACCACTCGGACTCTTCAAAGCCGTTGCTGAGGCCGTGTGATGGATCTGAAGGCCAACAGTGGGTAATGGATAGCAAGTTTAAGTGGCAGGCAAACAGAGCCTGAGGCTGTGACTAAATTGACTCGCAATCCAGTTGATAATACTTTTAAAAGCAATACACGTTTGCTATTAATCGCACCGTTCATCAAAACGGGGACTCGCTCGGCAACGAGATTTTTTAACCATATCAGTGGCTTCGGGAAATGCCACCTGTTAGAAGCAAGTTCAGCTCCAAACCTGTGCAAGCAATGGCATAATAACGTTGGATTTAGAAAAGAAAAAAAATTATCGATCTTTATCATGCTTCAAAATGTAATATTGGACTATCAAAAGAAAGCTTATTGCTGGAATTGACTGCTGAAAGAGGCGGGTTCTTATTTGGAATGAACTTTATAAAAGTAATTTAAAACTATTAAGCAAAAGTAATTTAAAGTAATTATGAAACCAACTCACTTAGGTTAGATTGAAATTATTCATTTGTATTTCGATGTGTGAAAGCAAATCTAATGGTGATTCACGAGACAAATCTGAAATGTTTGAATACTATGGGTACGTGCATGAGCATAATTTTAAATATTAAGAAATCTGTGTCCAAATAGTTGAAAATCAGCACTAATTTAGTCTTTGATACAAAATTTGTGCAATTCAGATAATTATATATTTTTACTGCTGTGTAGATATTTAAATTTTAAAACATTTATGTGCATTCCTCTATTTTCTTTTTATTTTGTTAAAGGTTTGGATGTTGCTGCCAAGTCATTTTATTTGTTTTGTAATAATTATTAATTTTATTTTGACATGTGAAAAACCCCCAGCCCCTTGTCAAGGTGCAAAAACTCAAGTCCTAAATTTATTGTTATCAACTACACTATAGTTTGTCTTTACTTTTGTTGTGAGGTGACGGTGCTAGTTAAAGCTATATACGGATTTATGTTTTTAGTTGCTCTGAGTGAACAGTATTTTTGTTTTTCATCACCAGGGTCTTTTATTATTTTCTTATGTGACATGTACAGGGTTCAACTTCACTCTACTGACTGCATAGTTAATGGAATTAGTTTTTTCTTCACTAACTGCACAATTCAGTCAGGCCGAATGCTTCCGAAATTCAACTGCGGTACCTACACTTGTTGCATACTTAACTAAGTTAGCGCGATTCAATTTAATTGAAGCTCAAAAAGCAGTTTAAATCAAATTAAATGGATATCAGCACAAATTTACACTCACATCATGTAACTAAATTAAACGCCACAGAAACTGCACGAAATCAGTATTAAATCTTATTGCGCAAGTTAAGTGTAGTTTGAGAGATGATTATATAATTCGTCCAAAAGTTATGTGCATAATTATGCTGATCCTCTTACATTCCATAATTTGCTGTTTGATTTTGTGCCCTACTGTTTTTAAGATTCATATTTTAATTGACCGTGACTCCATTAATGCAATTAATTACCAATATTTTGTGATGGTATATATACCATTAATTATAATTTCAATATTCAGTTGAAAGTTGAAATCCAATTGAATCTTCAAGAGATCAAAACTGTTTATATTTGAATCAAATAAAACTTGGATTTACAGCAGAAGTTCATTTTATTACAAAATTAACACTACTTCAGATTATATGTACAGAGAAAAAGATTAAAAAAAAAAATTATACAAAAAGAGAGATTCCTAAAATTAAAAATTTACAAAATTTGGGACATTTTAAAATTTGGGATGACGTAAGATCAAAACGAAAGCTTTTAACCAGGCACAAAACCTGTTCGATTAATAGTTTATAATTTTTTTTTGCATTACTTTGAATGAGACTAGGGGAAAATATATCAGCTAACTAATAATAGCAAAATCCAATACTAAGCCGACAGAAAGGATTTGTAATTAAATTACAAATGAAAATAATGAAATGGGTTCCAATGAGTTTTGATTGAAATGAATTTATGTACAATTTTTAAGTCAGCTGATATGAAAGGAAAATGTGCGCAAGCGGAAATATTTAAGTAATGCTACTTACTTGCTATTACAATTAAGGAAATGCACTAGACTGGCATTTGAATGAGTGCATTCGTAAGTTTCGAGTAATTCAGGACTGCACTTTACTGCCGTCATGTTACCAAAAAGATATATCACAATCATTTTACTTAATGTTAATCAGCAACATTCATTCGTCCATCCAGCATTGGTAACAAGCGTGTCATCTCATTCAACGGTTGGATGACTTATTCATATTTGTATGAGGAAATAATTCAATGTCATGTACGCGCGCATCAAAAATTACAATAATCCATCTTGACAATCACAACCTAACAAAAAGTCAATAAGTTAAAATAGTCGTCGTTGGCGCGAAGAAAAAAAATGAGTAATATTGATTATCTCAATACAGAGACAAAAATTCAAAAGTCTTCAAAATGTACAGTGCAGGACAAATGATGCTACAAAGGCCAAGCTTATCAGGGTTGGCTCATGCTTAGGGCCACTGCTAGGTGAAAATCTCCCCAATTGCGCTCCTCTGCGCACAGGACAGTTAACATCCCTAACAGGCTCTGGTGGTTGGTGCAGCTGAGTTATATTCGGGAATGACCGAATTTTAGGCAACTGAAATTTGACAAAAATATTTAATATAAACATTTTTAATAAAATTAGTCATCCTTACAAATGCAAGGGCGTCATCTTTCCTCCGACAGAAAGTCAGGTGCTGCCCTTTGTAAAAGGACTCCTCAATTCTCTGAGTGAGGAGTCTCTCGGCCCAGGGCAGCTCAATCAGGTGGGCCAGGAAACTCCTGTTCTGGAATTCCAAAGGCAGTCTGATGGTCAGCTCGTCAAAGATTCCAGTCACATCGCCGGCTCCCTCGGCAGGTTCGATGGTGAACGGCTTCATGTTCTTCAGGGCCATGATGGCCTTCTGGTTTGCTTCGTCGTCAATGTGACCACCCTCTGGAGGATAGTCAGGGAAGGGGGTGCCGGGGGAGGGAGGCGTCACAGGAGAAGGTTTCGGGCGCCAAATGTTATCCTCGTCCCTCGTGTGCAGCAGCATTTTCTCAATGTTGGCCATGTCCGTGTTGTAGAACTCCTTGACGCCCAAAATCGAGAAGAATGACTTGACAGGGGTCATGCTGTAGCAGCCGGCAAGGGCTGTTTGAGGGTAGTGAAGCACAAACGCAAGGCACATCTCTTCTTTGGTTGAATAACCACCCTGTACAATTTATTTAATTATTAGGACAAGTGCTTCAATTTAACCAAGAAAAGGAACTCACAAAGGTTGGTTCAGTTCTGTTGGTGGTTTCATAACCACACTCCATGATCAGTTCGTCGCCTTGAAGAATAGGCACCTCTTCTTTCAGAATGCGGGCTTGTTGGTAGTTGAAGTCATACTGTGCGTCCTACGACAATAAATAAAAAAAGGGTCAAATAAAAATTATTAAATTGAAATTTTTATAAGACTGAAGGAAGTATATTTAACAAAAAAATTCTGCATCGTTTTTATTTCCATTTAATAATAAAAATTTTATTAAATTTAATGTGTATTATAAAAAAAGTAAAATCTTACGATATTTGTTCTAAATATGTATAAAAAATACTTAAAAACATTTTATTCCAATTTATTCAAGGGATAAAAACTTGACTAAGTGGAACCTTATTTGAGTTAAAATGTAATTTTAAATTAATATTTCATTTTGTTTAACTAAAAAATATTTTTTTACCTCAACAATTGGAGCCAGTTCTTTTCCATTTCGAATTTGTCGGAGGCGCATGTTCCTTCCAGCCAGGTGGGAGTGCAGCACCACGGACACAACTTTGATGCCCGTGTCTGGCAGCATCTGCAACACAAAACCGTTCAACTAAATTAACACTGTGCAGGTCACTGGGCAGGAAATTGATGAGGCGGCAAGAAGAGCGACTGACAGGACCGGCAGGTGCCGATTGGGTTGTTGATCATACCTTGGAAGTGCACTCGTCAGTGCAGTAGCCAGCGGTGGAGTACATGGGCTGTCGAGGCGGAATCAAATGCAGTGGAGTGACGGCGGTGCCTACAGTCATCACTCCCCCGTCGTATTGGCGCAACTCCTCCGTGAAGTGCACTCGGATGCCCGAATTGTCGCGTGCTAAAAATAAAATCAAATGTTTCGGTCAATTTGTCTCGGATTTTCTTCTGCTCATTGGGCTGCAAAATCAGTCAATTACTATAATAAAATAGAAATTATTCTAGCCCAATTATTTTTAAATTAAAAATATCAATGAGTAAATTAATTAGCAAATAAATAACTTTATTTATAGCAAAATGACCTTATTCTCTCTATTTGTTGCAGATTAACTTACAATTTTTGAATGTCGGGTTGTCATAATGCACTTCCAGCATGAAAAATGTGTCTTGGTTGGGGTAAATGGTGTCAGACAAGGGAAGTCCAACGTGCTCAGGAAGGAACTCTCCTAAAAAATTGATAAAAAAAAATAATAATTTAGAATTATTAACTAGCTAAACATTCTGCAAGTTTGGGAGGCAAATATATATATATATATATATATATATATATATATATATATATATATATATATATATATATATATATATATATATATATATATATATATTTAAAAAAAAATCTTTTTAATAAAATTATATTCGTACCTTCTGATCCAATGGCCCAGGCTACAATTGGTGTGAGGCAGTTTTCCCAATCAACAGGCATTTTGGGCGAGTAACAAGCCGCTCCCTCGTGGGCAACATAACGAGCAAAGATGTCTTGGGCCCTCGAGTGAACGCATTCGTACAAGATCATGTGGTGCACCGCGCCCTTATTTCGAGTGTCAAGCAGTGGAGTGTACTGCAAATCAAAAATTTTAGTCCATATAAATTTAAATTTAATATATTCTTTGATTTTAAGCTCACCCCAATCATGTGATGTTTTTTCCCTAAACCAGGCAGTTTGAAGATTTTGCACCAATATCTCGTGTCCATGTTGTCAGGAATCAAGAGCTAAAAAATAAATTTCCAGTAAATAATTTTTCTTGACACATAATATATACAACGACGATGCTTTTTTTATTTTTTGAAACTCACGTTGCTCATTCTGACGTCCCAGTGCCGCACCGATCTTTGGTGGTGCGTTTTCTTCTTCTTGGGAAGTTGCTTTGCCTTGAGGTAGACGCTTCTGGTGCCTCTGGTTTGCTTACCATGCCAAGTGACAGGGTCAACGCCGTCGGCAGGATCATTCGGACCGAAGGCCCAAATCAATCTAACCGTATCTTCCTAAAGAGTGAAATTATTAAAGTAAAAATCTCGCCTCAAAATTTCGTCAAAAAGAAACTGACCCCTAGACCAAAGTCGTAAAACTGGTCGCACGTTATCCATTTTCTTCTGAACCTCGCGATTGTGTGAGTTCCGTTCTGCTCGGCGCCCAGGAGTTCTACGTCCTGCAGCTCGTCCCTCCGAGGAATTCCGTTGTGTGTCGAATGGTAGTCCTGTAAAAAGACGTGGAAAATGAAAAATATTTGTAACAAAATTGCTAATATTTTAGTTTAATAATTAATTTGTATTTGATCTTCATCAATCTAGCATTTTAAATACCATGAAATAGGAAATACATAACACAGGTACTTTTTATGACCTTACAATTTAACCAATTTTTTCAAAATAGGTTGATTTTTTTCTACTTTTGTTTCTTTGAGAAAATTAGAGTTCCCCTTTAATTTTTTTTTTCTAAAAATTATATTGAACGTTGGTTTTGTTTTTGCTTATTGTTATATAATATAGTTGCAGAATTCTGGGCTAAATTTTATTTTCATTTCAACGTTATTTAGTTATAAGAGTTATAACATAAAATTATGAATTTCAAATATTATTTCTATTGCCCACACACATTACGATATTTTCAACTATCCGGTGACGCAATGCCAAAGACGTTTAATTCTCAGCCAGGCAGAAAAGAAAAGCAGCAGACAGACAAAGCAAAAACACCTACAGAGGCCCCAGACTGAATTTATTCATCAAGCATACAACATACACGTCCTTCTTTGCTAGAGAAAAGCGTCCAAAAATAATAAGAACGGCAAGTTGAAATTTTCCCAGCCTTGCCGAATTTCCCACGTCGGCCAAATCGAACGAAATTCCGCCTTTAAAATTGTACACGCCGTCTAATTGGAGCGTTCAAAGAAAGAAGGATGATCCTGGCTGCGTCAGGGTGTCACCTTTGCGGGCGGTGACCTTGCGCCCACTCGCTAGGGCCTATTTAGCCGAAAATAAGCGAATAATGAGGCTGTCAGCCGTGCACCTCTTTAATCCTCACAGAGGCCGCCCACCTGGATTTTCGTGCCGACTTGTTTTCGATTTATTTGGGCAGCAATTAAACACGCCTGCCTGGACTTTTCCTTAAGTTGTGTCCGTGTCTGCGGAATTTCGCGTGCGTGTGCGGCACTGGAGACAAAAAGAACACGGACGCTATTTAACATGTAACGGTCAACAAAATGTGAAGAGCTTTTGGAGAGAAAAAATAAAAAGAAAAATGTTAACTACTGGTGGTTCAAAAGTGTCAAAGGTTTTAATTATGGGAATAAAAGTCACTTTCTCAATTAAAAAGGATTAAGTTTAAGAATTTTTCAAATATTTAATCTTGTCTCCATTAATTAGCAGTTTTAATATGAATTTAACCAAGAAATTATTTGTGAATTTCAGTCCCCAGTAAATAAGACCTTTTCAAGATGTTATAAAAAAATTTATAATTAAAAAAAATAATTCAACAGAAACTCAAAATTTGTCATGCTAACCTTCAAGTTTATTCTGCAAAAAATTAATAAATCCATTAAATTATTTAAATTTCATGTATATAATTTAATATTAATTTTAAAATGATGTGAGCTTTTAATAAAAATATAATAAACAGAAGAGTTTTTAAATTTAGATATTTTTGGGAATTTCATTAATTTTAATATAACATTTGTCAGACACATCTTGTCGTCTCTCATTTATAAATTTATATCATTGACACTATATTCGCTGAATTGTCTTTTTCATTCATAAAATTCCATTCTGTCGCTGCAAAGTCAAGTTTCCATATACGCCAAGTGTGCAAATAAAAAAATGCAATTTCGTGCTGGCGCTCTGGAAATTAAACCTGCGGCGCACGTGCATCCTTTTGTGTGTTCGCCGAGCTCGGTCTGCGGAATGCGCGAAAAATCTTTTTCGTCCGTCCTTGCCGCCAACAATAAGACACGCAAAACCAACAGAGCAGCAGCAAGAATTCGCTCGGCTCATCGTCGTTAAATCGAAGGTTCTGTCGAACAAGCTGCGGCCAATTAGGAGGAAAAAATTTATCCGGATCTATCACGCGGGAGAAAATCAATTCGGTTTGACTGAGTATTTTCATTTCTACGAAAAGCTGAGAGTAAAATTAATGCATCATTTTTATTTCAAAAATGACGAGACGGATTCAGTGTAAATATGAGAAAAAAGCACAGAGGCGCAGCCATCCAAATAGGAAACTCACAAAGCGCTTATTCGAGAGAGAAAATAAAAATAATGCGGCGCGCACCTTTTCCACGGTGTCTGCCTTTCTTATGAATAAATGCCGTCTGCGCGCGGAGGAATAAAAAGCAAAAGCAGCGTTAATACGATTGTAAATTGAATTTCGACTCGCAGACAAAGCGCACGGAAGCACACGCCGTGCAATTTCCACGGCTGGAAAAAATTGTTTGCTTTGGAGAGGAGCCGCGCGAGACCACAGAAGGCATACAACGGCGCCGAGACCAGTAATTGCGGCTATTAGTTTCAAATTTGAGTTTGCGCCAGTCATCTTTGTGTCAAAGGAGCGGTGACGAGAGCAAGTGAAATTGCCACATATGACAAAAATTAAACACATTAACAAAATGTGACGCTGCTAAAAATAAAAATTAAGCACTCAATCTTTTCATAATTTCTACTTTGATAAACTAATTTGTATTTTTTTTTAAAAATCATTTTTAGGAATAATATTCGTTAAATTATCCAAATGATCCAATTTTCATTAAAAAATAATTTTGGCAAAAATCGGTCTCATAAGTTTGTCTGTTTATGAAAATTCGTATCAACCAAACTTTACATTTTAACTTTTAATAATGTGGTTTCAAAGTATAGTACAAAAATTCCATTTTTCAAATAAATTTAGGTGCAATTAATTTTGTAAACATAAAGGAGGAGTCCAATCATATATTTTGAAAATTATTATATTAGTATCTGCGTTTAGATTTAAAAACACGAAGTCTACAAACTCATTTATTATTAACATTATTATTGCAGTCCACCAGCTTTAAACCTCTTGAAAAAATACGTATTGTTCAGATTTTATTGCATTATACATTTTTCCCCTATTTTTTTGTCAGGAGACATTTATTTAAAATCGTCTAACGCTTTAAAAATACTAGAGCAGTTGTGATTGACATAGATTTTCGTAGGGCAGAGATAATGGAAGTGCGAATTTTCCCACTTGAGAACAAAAGCATCTCTCGATTGTCAGTCCCGATTTACAACAAACTCGACGAGCCGGTCCATTCATTGGCAGTGACAAGCGAATTGAAAATTTTTGCAAACGGATTCCCATAGACGACGAGCGAGAAATAAATTTCCCAAATCCGGTCGCACTGCACAAAGAGAGGAGTTTGCCAAAAGAAGAAAAACGACGAGCGGCATTTCTGACGATATATTCACATCTCATCGCTGGGGCAGACAATAAATTTATTGTACAGGCCAGAGTAGAATATAAAAGATTCGAATGTCGCTGAAATAATATGCCGCGGCAGCGCAAATATATAAATATAAGAGAGCGCAAGGAATTTCGCATCATCTGCCAGTATTGCCTCGAGTTCCCACACAAATGCCAAATATAAAAAAGATTTGATCTGCCGAGTCATATTTTCTGTCTAAAATATCAAATTCATCCTGACTTAGAATCGAAAATCATTTCACTAAAAGGAGAAAAATTCGGTCTTGGAAATCAACTCGGCTCCACCTGAGCGAGCGCAGAAGGCTCGTTTTTTGGCGTCAATTTCCAGTCGAGCGCGGTCGGTCGGTGTCGCTGCACCTGTTGCTCTGCTCTTTTCATATATACATGCATAATATAAAAGTGGTGTGTGTTTTTCCACACAAGGTGTCTATTAACGCAGAAAACACGCTGCGGCGTTCTTCATAATGAGAGTAACGGAGAGAGGAAGTCACGACATCAAGGACTTGTTGCTTTTGAGAGCAGGCAGGATGCGTGCTGGCTGCCGACTTAAGAATATAATTTACGCACGCAGGCCAAACAGGGTTAAATTATAACAATTACAAGAATCGGAGGATGTGCGTTTATTTGGCAATGGTTAAAAAGACAATTGCTATTATTCGGCAGGTTGAGCTTCAATTATAAATTTTGACAGAACGGATTGTTTTGAAATTTCCTTCAGGACTTGTCACGAGTTATATAGTATAATTTTAATTATTCTTTTAATTAAATGACTTAAATATTGTTAATCAAACCAATTGCCAGATGATTGTGTAAACTGAAATGAAAACATTAAAATAAATTAATAAAAAAAATAGTAAAATTAATCTATAAAATATAATTAATGTAGTTTCTGCAGTTTTAATTAAATTATTATATGCATACTATAAACTTTTTTTTATTTTTAACATTTTAATGATTTTGAAAACTGTAAAAAAGAAAACAAAGTTTAGTCCATTTCTATAAAAAGAGCTCGGAGGTTTCAATTTAAAAGTTATTTACTCTCTATTCACGTTGTATATTTACTTATTAGAATTATAATTTACAATCAGATTCTAAAAATAAACTTGAGCATTATTACTTAATTGATTAATTGACGGAAAATAAGCTTTTTGATGAAATGTAAAAAAAGGGAGGCTTCTGTATGTATTTATCTGATACGTGTATAAAAATAAATAACGAAAAACCAACTCCAGAAGCTTCCACCCCGTGACGCAGCTTTTGTATTATTTTGGTCGGGCACGCACGGCTTTGATTTTCAACAGCAGGCCGACCTACCCCACGCACATGTGCAGCATCCCCCGGAGAATCAAACAAAATAATCTCTGGAGAGTCGCGTGCCTGCTGTCGTGTGCTGCTCCTCTTGTTAGCCTGAATTTCGGTGTATGAATTCAAAAGTAGGGCCGCCGCAGGTGCTGACGAAAATTCCCTGCCGAAAAAGGCAAATACGAATTATGTCTATCTGTTGCGAGAGCGAAGAAGAAGGAAAAAACGAGAAAAGCGGGCAGCTGGTGTGGCGCGTAAATAAATGAGCTCGCACCTGGCCCCGCTGCAAGCAGGCACCCCCAGGGCCCCTACCGCGAGTCGCTCGCTCGCTCGCGATATCCAGATAGATTCACGCAACGCCGAAAACCATCACACCTTGTGTTTTATTCCAGAACACAGGCGCTTCGCATTCATCCACCTGCGATACAATGCAAATTTCTTATGTTTTTGATCTGTGGAAAATGT